CGATGTTACACTCATTAAGAGCTTTCATTTGAGTACCCACATGCATTTTGATATATTTTTCACATATACATATGTATATAATATATATAAATATATGAAAAATTGATGTGGGTACTCAAATGAAAGGTCTTGATCAGTGTAACATCGGGATGAGCTTATATCTTTAAAAATATCAATAGTTCATGAGATACAAGGTCATTTCTTAATCATGTAAATACACTGGCCACAAAATTTTGCTTATTCTCTTAATAATATAGATTTAATTTTTATTTTTTAGTCCATGTATCATTCCAGTCCTTGCTTGTCGAGTCTGAAAGCTTGTAAGTTAGTGCAAAATACTGCAAGCAGTTACGTGATAAGGACTCAGCCTGCTGAAGGATGTCTATCCACTCTAGAAAGTGGTGCATTCTCTCTTTCTATTTTAGAAAACCAGTCTTGGTACAAAGATGCGATGCTTGGACCTCTTCATTATCTTTGCAAGTATGTTGAATTTTAAACATTCAATAGAAAATATTAAATTTATTAATTTTAAACTTTTCTTTAAAGATTTCAACTTGAGAACGGAGCGGTAACGCATCAGAGCAAAGAATTTTTAATAAAACAGAAGACTTACCCAAAATTAGTGGGTAAACGACTAGCTAGACAATTGAAGATATCTTCAAATGCAATTCATAATTAAATAAATATTTTAATATAACTTATGATAGAAAATTATAAATTTACAAATACAAATGTATAATAAATTTTTATACAATTTTATTATCGTTATTTTAAATAAAAGTTTTATTTTATTTTATTTATTGTAAGCGGATCCTTGTCAAATGAATTTTATGGAAGACTTGAAGTCAAAATATTCGTAGTCTTCGTTATGGTATTTGAAGAACCATGAAAGAGAGTTTTGTTTGTTGACGTTTTGGATTTTTCGCAGGAGATGGACACCTTGACGGTTGTTCATGTCCCAGGATATTCTCTGACCGGCGACGACGGGCTTTGAAGGTCCTGTTGAGACTACTGTTTCAGAATCTAGGGACCAGTCTATCCATAAAGCTACTCCATTGCATGATCCTTCTCTGAAGAAGCAAAAAAAAAAAATATTTACTCACTTGTTACATATTTTTATAACTTTTATTTTAATATTATTGGAAAAACAAAAAGTTGGTAATTATTTACAAGTACACGTTAATTTTTCACCTAGATATGGCCAAAAATAGGGTGAACCCCACTTGTAAATAATTACCAAGTATTTTCTGTTATTTATAATAATAATAATAATAAAAATTATTATTTCAATAAAAATAATAATAATAATAATAATAATATTTATAATTATAATTTCAGAAAAAAAAAAATAATTTTCATAAAAAATTTCTTAAACAAAACAAAATAAAACAAAACAAAGTTTTAAGCTCAGTTATTTCAAATTAAGCATCATACTCACTCAAGAATCGGCACTTGACCAGAAAATTCCTTCTTACTCTCACTATCAAAGTCATCTTCAAACCTAAAAGTCGCGACATCAAAGGTCGCTGATAGTGCTCGCCCCGTGTACTCCCAAAGTGGATGTACCTCTACTGGATGATCACTAATTTCACTGGAAGACTGAAACATAAAAATAAAAAAATAATCTCTCCTTATTTAGACAAATAACATGAGGTGAAATTTTATAAATACGACATACCATAATTAATTTATCAAAAATAGTCAAATCAAATCCTTCGCAGACTCCAAGTGGTGCGCGGATATGATGAAGATCTTTAAACTCCACGACGACTCCTCGAATAATTGCCGCCACTGGAATCGCAGGAATTCCTTTCATATAAGCCGAGGTTAAATACCAAAATCTTAAATTATCCCACGGAAAAATTGAATTGGCGTAATAAGGCTCTCCAATAATTAAACAGTTGGATTTATCATAATCTTTGCAAGTAAACTGTTCAATAGATTCAATAATTTCCACCTTGTCTTTCAGGTGATTAGCTTCAATGAAATATTCAATAGATCTTCGAGACAAATAATTAGGCTCAAACAAAACAACTTTTTTGGCTCCCAGATTAGCAGCCGCGACTCCAATTAAAGAGCCGTCGGATAAGCAAAGGCAGGTAGTGTCCGACGTGATATGTTTCTTCAACACACTTATATACTTTTCATTCCTCTCGCAGTCGTTCAACTGGCCGAGCCTCGTTCTTGAGTACGCAATGTGCAGCGAGCAATCACAGACAGGACTCTTGGTGAATTTAAGCTTGGACTCATTGGAAACCGGCAAGTTGAACCAAAACGAGTAGCCGTCGTGATAACCGACCAGAGTTACTTGCTCGTTCATTTTTATAGGTATTTCTTCAGGAAGATAGTAGATCGCCTGCATCCAGTGATCACGCCAAGGGAGCTTGTCAGTCATTTCAGTCATAGTAAGCCCTTTATTTTCCTCCAGCTTTGTGTACGGGTGTTCCCAAACTGGCGCGCAGCTCAGCAAAATTTCCTTGTCCTCGTCCATGTTCAGGTCCCACCACATAAATACTGCATGGGCAGTACCAGACGCGATGGCGTTGCATTGCAGAGTATTTATTTCGTTAAACACCAGAGGAACTTTTCCTGACCAGTCGAATCTAAAAATCGGCTGGGGCGCCAGTAAAGCCACGAAAGCCTCTCTGGGAAGCTGGCTCAGTTGGATGTCGTGGACAGCCGATGAACCAGCGCATTTATTTACTGAGCTAGGTGGCTTCATTAATTCCCTCCCGGTCTTTGGATCTTTTATCTCGTTAATGCGGTTCCATTTACGCACGGTTAAGCTGTCGATCACTTGGACCCATACTGTTCCGCTGTCAGGAACTACGATGCAGTCTTTCTGAAATAATAAATTTATATTAATTTTTTCAACAAATAAATTATAGCAAGAAAAATATATTTTTAAAATTACATATTTAAAAACTTTAAAAAATTATAAATGCAATTTTTTAAACATCATTTTCTAGATCTAATCTATTTTTTAAGAAGAAATTTTTTGCTAATTTAAGTGTCATTTATTAATAAATAATTCTATGTTATTTAGAATTACAGCTTCATATATTTTTTAATATAGCACGTCAAAATTTATTTACCTCTAAGAGATGCTCATGAGCGTGTTTAAATGTCGGCAAAGCACCTTCGCCAATCAATTCGGTGTCAAATACTTCAGTGACGAGAATATTTGCTCGACGTTCCATGTCACCATTATCACCGACGATTATCTCAGTTGACTTTTTCTTAATTAATTTAATCTTGGACTCGAATCCATTGTTTTTTATTATTTCTTCTGCGCACTCGGCCATGGGTCTAAAAGCCTTTAAAAAAAATAAAGAATTTATAAATAGTAATTATTTTTATACTTTTAATGTAATAAGGTGTATAAAAAAAAAACATTGTAAATAATTTCACAGCTTATTATTGAAAAAGAATGACACTGAAATTAACAGACACGGAAATTTTCATAATACTATGAAGTAGTTAGCCGACGTTTTTAATTTTTTGATTTTCTTTTAATTATTAAATTAGAACTAAAAAATATTTTTTAAAAGTTTTACGCATTGTTTTTCAAATTTTTTACAATTGAAAATTTTTTTTTTTATTTTTTTGTAATAATTTTTTCAGTAAAAAAAAATTCTAAAAATTATTAGATGTCGGTTAACTTTTAGAGCTTCTAAAGATGAAATTTTTTAATTGAGTTTTTGTTGTGAAAATTTATTTGTTAAAAAATTTTTTTCTAATTATCAGATGTCTCTTAATTTCAGTGTCATAAAAATTAATTACCTCACACGCGACTATTGTATCAGCACCACATTTAGCTGCCATCATTGATAACAAACCTGTACCGGTACCAATATCTAAAACATTCGCCTTCAATCCTTGTTTATGTTTCTTGTCGATAGCTTTCCGAAGAGCCAAGTAATATTTTTCGTTCTGAATTAAAAAAATAAAATTATGTAAAATTTTATTCAGTAATTTATATTTTTTTTTTTTGTTTATTTTAATGACGGTAAACTTACTCGTTCATGATCGTGGAGCATGTCAGCAAATGCTGAACGTGCTACTTCCTGGTGATAGTCATAATTAGGGTTTTTTTCTTCCCAAACAGAACAGCCAGTGATTGGATCAAATGTCTGCGTAAATATACTCATCTTTGTTAATTTAAATTTTGGTTTATTGTATATTAACCTGGATAACATGCAAGTACTTCGTCTAGGTTAAGTTATTACAATGTTTAATTATCAATAACACAACATGTGGGTTTATATGAGCGCCAAACAGTTTCGGATTTCACTGTCGGTCAAATTCGGCTCAGCTCGGAGTGTTGAAAAATACCGCGAAGAAATTTGAAATTTAAAAACAATTTATTAATTAAGAGACATCTGAAAATATTTACAATTTTTTTTAACAAATAAATTTTTACAAGAAAAATTGATTTAATGAAAAATTCTATCTTTAAAAACACTAAAAAAATTATGAATGTAATTTTTTAAAAATAATTTTCTACAACTAGTTTATTTTTTAAGAAAAATAAAAAAATTGCCAAGTGTCTGCTAATTTAAGTATAAATTTACAATTTTAAATCAAAATATAAATTAAAAAATTTTCAACAAATGAATTATTTTTTTTATTAATCCTTTTTTTACGTGATTTCTTCTTTAATAATATTACTTAGTTGTAAATTATAAATAATAAAAAAAGCAATTGAAATAATTTTTTTGTCGTTTATTTAACATCAACTGACAACAATGTATATACAACTTTGAAGTATATATTGTAAGTATACATGTATATTTAATATATAATTAATTTATAATATATTTATCAGAGCATTACTCACTTCACATACTCAATATCATATAGTTAAATCACAAATAATCGGTAAACAATTACTATAACAATAGTATATCATCTTCATAATAATATTTATAATAATAATAGGTCCTATAACTTAAAACAATAATTAAACAAACACTATACTGAATAGAGAAAGCAAACACATTGTCCATAACAACAATAGAATAAATAAATAAAATACATATGTATATTCAACAATATTAAACATTATAAAGCACATTTTATTGTCAAATTAGTCTAATAATTAATAATAAATGTTTCACTAAAAATACCACATTGTTTATTGTCAAGTGATCAAATGATCTTATTGTCAATAGGTATATTTACTTATAGTTCGTTACGCTAAAAAGCTTTGTTAATTTTAATAGTCTACTAATATTTAATTCTGTTACTCTTTCATATTAAATTTAAAATTTAAATCCATTAATCATTTTCTGTGCGCATGAATTTGTTATCACTATTTACAATTTTATATTCGTTATTATGTCTTCTAATAAACTTACCATAATTTACTAAATTAAATATAATAACTAGCAATCAATATAATATAATAATAATGTATAATTTATATTTCTTCTTTAACTATATATTGTTTAGCCGCTCATATTTTAATTAATTTTTTTTTCCAGTATTGTCTCGGTGATAATCAGTCAACTTTTTAAGCATAAACATTTGAACAAAAATTAACATATTTCTTCATTATCTTATCACTATTATTATTATTAATTATTATCATTATTATCCCCATCATCATCATTATTATTAATATTATTATTATTATTATTATTACTATTATTATCAATATTAATATTATTAATAGTATTATTGTATCTCGATTATTAATTTATATTTCTTCATTCAACATTTCACCCAGTCTCTTCATAATTTTATGTATATATGGCATTACACAGTTCTACACAATTCTAAATTTTTAATCAATGATATAGGTGATACTTAACAATTAGGATATGTATATACATACATATGTATGTAGAACAATTTAATAGAATATACAGTAAAGTGGAAGGCATGAGGTCGCGAAATAAAGTTACCTACGGTGTAGAAGACTACCAATATGTTTTAATAAATACAATCAATATAATATTACAGGGCGACAAAAAATATAAAACGTGCGTTAATATAATCTATTTAATAAATAAAATATCAGGTTAAATCGTTATCACTTTTAAATTTTTTAAAAGGTGGTTTAATTATTTTATTAGCTTCTCGATAGAAAATAGTTAACTTTCAAAGTCGAGAAGTTTTTATTATAACTAGAGTGTGATGTAACATGTATTGCCAGTTAGATTATTGTCAATAATGTAAATGTCCATTTTTTTCCATTATAGTAAGGTAAATATGGACGTTTTATTGTCGTTTATCATTTCTATAGTAACAGTTTATTGAAAAGTTATTATATCCTTTTAAACCATAAACTTTTATCTCAAACGTAAACGTTTAAATAAATTGATACTATATATCATGCCCAATGGACGGTTCCTATACTAATTTCAGTACAGTTACTTTTTTTTTATTTTTATCATATTTTTTTTCCATTAGGTACTTTTGTTATATCGAATAGCTTGCTCTCATGAAAGAAAATTTTTTAATCAATTTATTCATTAAAATTTTTTGACCATAAAAAATGAAAAATTTAAATATTGACAATTTTTTTTAAATTATTTAAAAAATTTTTCAAAAATGTTTAACGCATGATATGTCATTTTTTAATTTCTTGATTTTATTATTTTTTCATACTCTTTAATAAAAAAAAATTTTGTTGTACTAGATAAATTGATATGTGAAAAATATCATTGGAATTACTCGTAAGAAGAATGAAATTTAACAAAAATTAATGAATAAGTTTTTAATTTTTATGGCCGACTTCCAAATCTAAACAATTACTCATGTATATCATCTTCATTATTTATTTTTCTATTACTTAAAAAAAGTAAATAAAAAAATATTGCTGAATAAAATGAATAAAAATTGTACGCTGTAAAATGATTAATTTAAATAGAATAATCTCAATAAAAAAAATAATAAAATTTTTTTCCATGAGAAACTTTAAATATATACGCAAGAGCTTCGATATGCAAATTTTCCATTTGATATATTATTTGATATCTGCGTCAATATAATAATTACTTTTAATAATAGCTACTAGCATTAAATATTATAAACTTAACTAATTAAAATCCGATCTAACAAGATAATATGCAACTGTAGTATTTTTAAATATATTAATTTAATATCTATTGATATAATAGCGTAATTGACACGGTTAACTTTACGATCGTTTATAAACCGAAAAACAATTAATAAAATGTATATTAATAATAAAATATAAACATGAGATATATATGAAATGCTTTATATACGAATAACGATGGTATCAAGTACTTTAATTGTTATCTTCGTTTAAAAGTATGGGTATTGTCATTAAATGCGATGTTGATGTTACTGTTGCTGATTCTTTCAGATTGTTAAATAATATTATTGTTCTAGGTCAAATTACCATTGTCTATATCATCGTCGTCATCGTTGAGGCCACCTGTAGGGCAGCACATCCCTTCTGAGCCGTCAGCTCTGATGCAGAACAACAGTTTCTCGGCAGCAGTCACCTCATGGGGAACAATCCCATGGAATTCTTTAAGATCTTCTGCAGGGAACCAGGCTTTTTCATTATCGTCGATTATTGGGATTCCGAGTAATCGGAAAATGGCCACGGCTGGTATCCAGAGGACCGACGCCAGTATAAGAATAAATATTAAAACTAGGGCCCAAGTCGGCCACTCTTGTCTCTCGGTAGAGCCTTTGTTAGGCACCCAGGTCTGGTATCCGCTTCCTTCGCATATTATTTCGACAAACGAGGCCACCAAAATCGTTAGCATCGCCAACGGGCTCAAGTACTTCCAGCAAATTAACCAATAAAGTCCTGGTCTATTTCCAGTCATCAATTCAATGTCGTCAGCAAATCGTCTCAATCCGTAGACGTAAGAGACTCCGATGCACTCGAAAAAGGCAATTATTAGCAATGGAAAATTACCACTGAAGTTATCGAATAATACAAATACGTAACTTCCAGCACCGTGAGCAAATGCCATAGAAATTATACAGCATACTAAACATATTGCGCCTTTTATGGTAAAAAAATGAGAAAAAGAAATAAATTTTATTAAGAGTACTGATAAATACTTTTGCAATAAATTTTTTTAATTACTTACCCGTTAGAATTTCTTTTCTAAGATTCGGAAAAAGTTTCATGTCGACGATGCTCGTTACGACGCCCTCCAATGTCCCAAATTGCGAATCAATACCGAGTGTAAAAAGCATGAGGAAAAATAAAACTGACCAGAATTGGGCTCCTGGGAATTGATTTATTGCCTCGGTAAAAATAATAAAAGCCAAACCTGTTCCTGATGCTGACTATGTTGATAAAACAATTAAAAGTTATTATTATTGTTATTTGTAATTTAAATTTTATTACATGTAAGTGGAGCTTTCTAGTGATGAGGTTTTCATTAATTTGTTGTCAAATCACATGGAAATTAATTTAAATCAAGAATTAATGAATATGTAATTTTATTTTATTCAACAGGAATCTTTTAATTAAGATCTACTTTATATTTTGTTGAGAGAAAAATCTAATCCCTATAGAATTTATGAAGAGAATTTTTTTAATATTTTAAAAATTTATCACAGTGAGAGTGAATTGGCAAGAAGAAAAATCAAAATATTAAATTTTTATAGAGTTATTGCACATGTTAATTAATTATTAAATAATTATCATGAAAATAAATGAAATTACTTAATTTTTAATTTCATATTTTTTATCATTATAAAGGATTATTTTTTCTGTGCATATGTTCGAATAGAAAGCAATTTTTTTTTCACATCAATAAAAAATAAGTGACCAGTGGACTTTTGGACCTTGCGCCAGAGTAGTCAGAAAAAAAATTGACCCATTTTGTAAAATAAAAAAAATTGTTCTTGTACTTTTTAAAATTGAAATAAAATAATTTTAAATTTTCAAAATATTTTAATTATTTTATCATCGAAAATGACTGATTTTCAGCCGGAAGAGATTTCTTCCTTTAAGCTGACAGAAAATAAAAAAAAAAAAAATAATAGTTAGTATAAATCTTACATTATCCAATTCTTTTTGAAGATCACATTCCGGAATTTCAGGCATTATTATATTATCAACACTATTATTTCCATTTGTGAAATTCAATAATGTACCGGCCGGTGGAATTTCATCTGGAAATCTTTCAGGATGTCCAAATATACCGATCAAAGTTGAATTTCTATCCACCAAGCATTTTTCATAAACCATCGTCGCTTTAAAACCTAAAGGATAAAGAATGAATTTATTTAATAAGTCGTAATTTATGACCAAAAAATAATTACAATTAACCTTAATAAATATCATTACCGATAACTGAAAATACCACAATTCCAGCGAACATCGATGTGAAACAATTCGTCAAGCTGACCATAATTGCGTCGCGGTAGCAGTTATTATTGACTGGATTGTAAGAGGAGAATGCGATTAAACCGCCGAAAGCTAGACCAAGGGAGAAAAATATTTGCGTTCCTGCTTCGAGCCAGACAACAGGATCCGTCAGCGTGTACCACTTTGGGGTGAACAGATGACGTAGGCCGTCGGACATTCCTGGTAAAGTTACACCTCGGAAGAAGAAAATTATCAAAACGAGGTACGGAAATGTCGCTGTCACGTAAACGACCTGCAATTTTTTTTTTGTAATTAATAATTATTCATCTTTATAAGTTGTTATTGATTGTTAATTAACAGTGATGTAATGATAATGATTATACTTTTCCAGATGAAGCTATTCCTTTGATCATACACATGTAAACTAAAATCCAAGCGATAACGAGTGCCAAAGCTATTTTCCAATTGAACACTTCTGGGGTATTTATGTCTTTTGATATCATTAGTGTTGTACGATACCAAAAATATTGTGTAGGGCTGCTTTCCTGAATAGGTAATTTAATTTTAATAATTTTTTATTTAAATTAAATTTGATACTAAATTATAAATGAAAAATTTTAATAATAACGACTAGTTTTTTAGAAGAAATGATTTATAAAAATAAAAATATCGATTACTTGACATTCAGGTTCTGGAGCGTATGATCCATTTTGAAAATATTTATTCGGACATTCTGACCATGGTAATTCAGATTGAAAACTCTGTAACAATTTTATGTTATAGTATGTTGAAAAAAATTATATTGATAGTGAAATATATTTACTTGAACGAAATAGAAAAGGCACCAGGCAATTATTGTGTTGTAATAAAGCGCGACATTGAAAGAAACAACTGCGCTGCTAATTCCTATTCCTCCAAGATATGGTGAAACCTAAAAAAAAATATATGTACATGTAGTATTTGTATAAGAAGTATCTTTAAAATTAATCGTGAAATAGAATTTTAATTATTTGTGATTTATCATATTAATTATTTAAACTTTAATTAAATCAGAAAATTTAAAAAAGGAGAGACAATAAAAGAAGAAATAATTAAATGTTAATAACTTTGCTTATTTATCATCTTAAGTTTTATAAAAAAGAACAGAAATTAACACGATACCTGTAATAAGATGAAGAAATACAGAAAAATAAGTAGATAAAACTAAAAGTTATAATTGTAATCTTTGTGAATAAGTTTTTAATTACTTTTCCTATAATACAAATATATGAACTTGAGAAATTTAAACGCAACTTAAAAGAAAATAATTAATTTAACAGATATTTAATAATTTTTAGAATTTTTTTTAACAAATAAATTATAGCAAAAAATAATGGAAAAAAAAATATTGACATGTAGAAATTTAAAATAATTATAAATGAAATTTTTTATATTAATAAAATTAAAAAATTATCAAGTGACTGCTGACTTTAATGCCATGAAAATAAATATAAATTAAAAATAAACCTGATTCCAGACTCCAATGGCTCCTTTTCTCAATCTCTGTCCGATAGCCAGCTCCAAGTAGAAAATAGGAATCCCTTCAATGGCCAGCATAACAAAATAAGGTATCAAAAACGCTCCACCCCCGTTTTTTTGCGCAAGATATGGGAATCTCCAAACGTTTCCCAATCCGACGGCATAACCAACAGTAGCCAGCAGGAATGTTAATTTGCTATCCCAATTTTCTCGCTCATCTTCGCCCGCCTCAGGACGAAATATCCCTTTGCCCTCTGTACTACCAGTTGGCATTTTCGGCGCAGTACTTTCAACAATGCTACTGCTTACATTCACGCTGACGTGAGCGGGCGCATTTGGTTTCTTGGCCTATAATTAAAATTATTCATCATCAATCATATCATATCATAAAAATTAATCTATGCATGAAATCAAGAGGTCAATTATCATACAACCTTGATACTAGGGCTCGAGTCGTCGAAGCCCGGATTAGTAGTTCCATAATTAGTGGTCGGATTTTTCCGACTGTCGACCACCAATCTACCTCGCATTTCTTTCATTTCAAGCCGATCCACGCTTTTTTGGGGCTTCAAGTCCCGGGAACTTTGTCTGCGTACCAAGTGAGCCGTGTTTGCCATTTTTCTTTATTTAGGATTTTATTATCTTGAATTATTATTTACTTTTAAATTACCAAGCATATCGTTGTTGACAATCTCGGTATTAATGAATAAAATTCATTCTAAAAAAAAAAAAACTAATTTTATTATTTACAATTTTTTATTCGTCTTTAAGTTTTACTTTTCTTCTTTTGAGTTAAGAAGTTTATAATTTTAAATATCAAATTTATTTTTTTTTATTGATCGTCTAATTCCAATACTACTTGACATTTGTCAATATAAGACAACTTTCAATATAACATATACATATATACAATTTACCCATCACAGATCTATACGTAAATGATCGTTACGTAATTTTTATATTTATATATTGAGAAATATTTGAGCTTTATGTAAAAAAATTATTTATTATACGGAAATTGCTATTGTTTTTCGATAATTTTAATTAAAAAAGTACAAGAACTGGTAATGGATTGTTTACACAAATATTGATTTCCGAAGCAGAAATTTTATCGTACTAAAAGGTGAAGAAAATACATACATATATACATTTATTATTACTATATATATTTATGTGGCTTCGAAATCTTAATTATTATTTGTAAAAGTATTTACGAAGCGCGAAATTAAAATACCGAGTCTATACACTAGTTCCACTGACGTCATCACATTGAGCGACTCTTACAAATATAAGGACTAATTATTTACTTACATACATATATATGTATATGTATAAATATTCATGTAAATGTATGTATTTGAATAATATACGTATGTATAGATCTATATTTGATTTTTGATGTATATATTTATGTATTTTTGGATATTGTGCAAAAACTAGGTCCACTAGTGATAAAAGAAAGGAGTTGATCTGGTATTGGATGTAGGACAATCGAAACTGTGATGATCATGTAATATTTTGCAGAAATTAAAAAGTTCGATTGGATAACTTGTATGTAAATTAATAAATCTATAAAAAAAAAAAAAAATAATGATTAATAAGTGTAAATAATTTGCAAAAAAATAAAAAGTAAAATTATTAATTATGAGTAAAAAATATGAATGTGATTTGGTAATCACTTGATTGAAGAATTGAGTAAGATTAAATGTGCATTAATGTAAGTACTAAGATTAAATAATAAATTTAATATAATAACTGACCTGATAATGTTAGGGGAAGAAGAGATGAGCGAGCGACTCCTTTTGGGATGTTTTGGGGCACTCGGGGGTGAGAGTCCAAACTTGTTCGTTAGTGTCGCGCCCTTCAGGAAAATTATAATAACTTTAACGTGGGGAATCCTTGATTTTGTGTATGGTGACAGCGAATCAATAGTAAGCGCCGGCGCGCCTTCATTTTATTTAGATTTGTTGATAAGAAAAGGTCCATTTAAGTGATTAAAAATTTCAACCAGATAATGTCAGTTTATAAAAATATTTTAGATTTTTTATTCAAAAATACATCAGTACACGCTAGCGCGGTTTGTTGTTTAAATACTGCGTGAATGCGAGGATTTTTTTTATTCTTTTACTACTGGAATTAAAAGAGTCTATTAATCTGTCAACGCTGGCTTCGTCTTTTATGTTTAATGCCTTAAAACTAGCAGTTATGTCACTGTAATAATTTTTGTAGAACTCTAAACTTTCCATGGACCACTCTAGCAATGAATTCAGGCGAGGTCGCTCACTTGTTCCATTCACAAAATTAATTATTGTCGGGTCGGCGAAATTTATTTTGCTGCGAGCTTGTTCTAGCTGATGATATTTATCCTTTAGCTCCTACGGAAGAATATGTGCAATAATTAATAATTAATACCACTTAAGTAAGCAATAAAAGAAGATATTTACCTGAGTGTAATTATGTAGAGTACTTATAGCTTCAACAATAAGCTTGAGTTCATCTTCGATTCCCAAGTTTATTTTAAAAATAAGTTTTTCCCGCGCGCCGTTGATCAAGCAAATTTCTGCAGTATCTACCGCAGGGCTGTAACACACAGATGGCGTTAGTGTAATTCATAAATTTGATAATATATTATAAAAAATTATAAATAAAAAATAAAATAATTATTATTTGTGTAAATTAATTAATTACTAAATTAAATTAAATTTTTAAAGAAGAAAAGATTACCTTGTTACATGACGAAGTTGTTCCATCTGATTCTTGAGTGACGTTAATGCTCCGGTTTTAACCTTATTAATCTCATTGTTGCAGTAACAATAAATTTTTTCGAGTGTTAAATAATAATTAACAATTGCTTTTTGAAGTTGCTGAAGGTCTTTGTCCATTATTATTGTTGATCATTTAACTCGATGATGTCATAAATTAAATATACCACGTGAAGCTTAATAACTACTTTATTTCAGATTGTAATTTGACGTTAAATCAAGTGGTACAAAAAAAAATGAACCGCAACAGCACGTGGCTGCTAAGATAAAACAGATATACTTATAAATATATTGCTACACATACTTATAAATATATCTAATCAAAATAGAGTATAAATAATCAAAGGGGTTAATGCCAAAAATCAAAACAATTAAGTCATGACAAAAAAATTATAAATATATGTTGTTAAAAAGAATGACAGAGAAAATTTTATTTTTACTTATGTGTAAATAAATTTAAAAATAAAATAATTAACGTCATTGTTGCCAAAAAAAAATATAAACTAAAGCACTGGACGGAAAAAAGAAACAAAACTAATGTTAAAAACAATAACCCGGTATTTTAATTTATTTAAAAATTAATTTAACAAATATTTAATAATTTTAAGAACTTTTTTAATAAACAAATTATGATAAATATAATTAGAGAAAAAAATTAACATTTATAAAATTAAAAAAAATGCAATTTTTTAGAAATAATTTTTCGGAGCAAAATTTATTAAAAAAAAAAATTGAAAAATGGTCAAGCGACTGCTAACTTTAATTTCATTTAAAAATGACATTAAAGTTAGCTGTCACTTGACAAATTTGTAATTTTATTTAACAATTATATTAATTCTGAAAAATTATTTAAAAAAAATTGCATTTTTAATTTTTTTTTTTTTGCCATAATTTATTTGTTAACAAAAGTTCTAAAAATGATTAAAAATCTGCAAAATTAATTTTCATTATTTAAAAATTGAATTGACAACAAAAAATTATAATAATTATCTGTCTTAGATTTGAATTAAAAATATGACGTAGTAAATAATAAATATCACGGAAGTATACTACGGAAGATTGATTTCAGTGTAAATATGAAAAGAGGTGGAAATAAAAATTCTTCAAGTTAAAGAAGTTGGTGGCGCGTCGACTGAACAACGGGAATGATTAATATAATATAAATGAAAGGTATATAACAACCGCTGGCTGCTGGTTTTAGTTTATATCAGTCTGTTCTGTTTCCTTTTATTCAGTTTTACGTCTGAGTATACACGTTGCAGTCGATAATACATGTCTTGTACAGTACACTCTACTGCTGGTGCAATTCAAGTACTCAGTGCTATGTGCTAGCTATTTCAGACTGTCTTGCGCGTAGTTGCGCGACGGGTCTTGCTGTGTTTACTTGTAATTTATACTTGATATTTTATTTTAAAGAGTACAACAATAAACAAAAAAAAATTTTTAATCATTTGCAATAACTTCAATTATCAGGTGTTAGTTTTTTAACATTTCTTCTTGACTTTTTCAGTGTAAAATATATTATAAAGTGATAGATTAAATTTACTGTTTTTTTTTTTTAAACATTTATGATTGTTTTTAGAATAATATCGGATCGGTGGTGTTCACCCTCGTGATGCGCCGCCGCTAAACACTCACCCCGTCCTCGGATTTTCCACGGATTTTCCCGAGGCCAAGTGACAACTAAACGTCGGCACCAGTTAACGCTTGACTATTGATTTTGATAAGTTTTAGTGGATAAAAACGACATTTCATTTTTATTGAATTAGTGTCGCTTTTCTTTATAAGTGTTTGGTTTACTTAAAGCCATCCATATTTTTTTTGACATATCGATTATTATTTATTAAGCACACATGGAAAAAATAGACAGCGATATGAGAGATACCAGTGAGTTAAAACCACCTTCCATTGATACTGATATCCTCAACCCTTTTGTTCATCGGCTAGAACTCGATACAACTTATGAAAAACTCAAGGTCAGTACAATAACAATAACAATATAAATAAATATTATTTATTTAATTAATAATATACTACTATAATTTATATAAGCTAAATAACAGGATTAAATAAAACAAATTTGACATTACGCAATATCAGATGCAGAGTCAATGACATGCGGATATTTACAGCCCATAAATGTTTGCTGAATGTTTAAAAAATAATTTATTGTTTTATTTTTATACCTGAAAAGAAAGTGGATACCTGGTTTAATTTGATACATTTTTTATTAAAGACATTGGCCTGTTATGTTAAATTCTCACGGACGGACGTACCCGATAATCGGATAACGGGTTTTAAAACTCCGAGTCATACCGAGTCAACCCGAGAAATGCCGGGTTACTTTTTAGCTTGACACAACTAAGGAATTTCTATTGCTAGTATTTGTCAAGAATTGTTTTTAAAAATTCAATGAGCAACAAGCAATAGATAATTAACTAATTTTAAGTACTAGTTTGCAAATTGAAGCTTTGGATTTTGCATATGAAAGAACGCGGTTAATGTGGGACAAAAATGTAGGCTACGAGGAGAAACGATAGTTTTTACGTGTATTAATTTTGTACTCAAATTTGTTACGAGTTATTTTAAATATTTTAATATTTTTTGCAATCGTTAACGAGCTCCAAAATTACAGCCTTGATTTTTTATTGCTGAAACGGTAAACGCTTTTTTAGTGTTATAAAAAATTTTAACTTTAATTGACGGTAACAATAGAAATAATTTTTATTATTGTAAAAATTATTACAACTGTTTATTTTTTTTTCCGGATAATAACATTCCATTGAAGCGTTTAACTTATTCATATGAGTCAATCTATTATTTAAAAAGTTATGCAATAAAGAAGAAATTAGTAATTAAAAGTGCAAATATTGTAAACAATGTAATAGTAGTGAATAATTTATTTAAAAAAATACTGTATGTTAAGCCGGTGATCATGGTGAGATGAAAGTAGCGGTCGTGTTCACCTGCAAAAGATGTAGGTCAACATTCGAATAGAATGTATTCGATAACTCAAGAGTGAAACGTCGTAACCACGATAAATTTTTAACAGTATTACTTACAAGTTAAAAAAAACTGCTGTGTAAAAATTGAGGCAGAGTATATTAAAGAGCTTCGCAAAAAATGACACCGTTTATTTTATTACAATTTTTATTATTATTAAAATTATTATTTTTATTAAAATTATAAAAAAAAAAAAGAAAGTCAGAGGGATTAAATGATAGACCACGTGTTGTATTGACGTGTCGGGCACGTGAAGAATGCATTAATTCTGGGACGCGCTTGTGCTTATCACTGAATCGATGTTATATTACCGGTACCAATAAATTTATTTTTTTAAATTACTAATTAATTTTCTTCTTGATATTTGATAATAGTCAATTGAATAAAAAAAATTTTTATTGTTAAAATAATTTAATACAACGAAAAATTCGCTTAGGGTGGTTCGGTCATAAATACAAAATTTTAAGTTTTCGAAATTTGAAATATGGGTAATAATATACGCATTACATGTGCTGTTGAAATTTGAAATCAATTGATCATATCAAAAATGAGATAATTGTAATTAAAAATGACATTTTATTTTAGCACAGACAGTATGGGTACACAGAAAAAAAAAATTTCTTGACTGGAGAACAAAATTCTTGGCTCAAGAAAATTTTCGGGTGCCTGAAGGAAGACCGAAGTTGTGTTGGCCGAAGTAAAAATTTTTCTTGAAATTCTATTTTAGGTGGATGTAATTTTTTCTTAATTCAATTTATCATAAATACTTGATACAATAAATTTTTATATTTGATCAAGATTTTTAGATACTTTAGGGAAGCAGCGTCACCTACTTCAGCTGGGAAAAAAATTTTTTCACCTTGAGAAAAGTTTTCTCTTGAATATTTGATACCCATTTTATATTATTTTAGTGTGCAATTATACATATTGAATGAAAAAAAAATGATGAAATATTATTTGATCTTCTCATTTGACATGTTAATCAATAAAAATATTAATGAAAATTTACTTCTATCTTTATATTTAATTTTTTGGAGCAAGAGAGAAATTTTCTCAAGACAAGAAAATTTACTTCTATCAAGAACTAAATTTTTTGGAGCAAGAAGCTGAATTTTCTCAAAACAAGAAGGTTATCTTGACTTAAAAAAATTTTTTTGGATCAAAATACGTATTTCTTAAAGCAAGAGAATTAATTTTGTTGGAATAAGTGAAATTTCTTGTGACAAAAAAAATTTTTTTTTTCGCTCAAGAAAATAATTAGGAAGAAAAATATTTTCTTGACTCAAGTGAACCTTTTTTTTTCTGTGTAGAGAGTGAGAAAATCACAAATATTAATGGTTATTGCATTGAAAGGATTTTAAGATCGTTTCAAAAAACTAATACCTGTTAGAATAATATACTTAAAATAATCTAAAGAAATTTTTAACCATGTAATTTTTTATAAATTGATAATAAACTGACTAGTTAAACAAAAATAACCATTAGTAAAAGCGAATAAGAGATAACTCGTGAGAAAGGTAGCACTAGTGAGTGAAAAGGAACAGAAATAGTATAAACTATATGTCCCGAGTGAACCTTAAAGATTTTTTCAGAAAATATTCATCAATTTAATGAAAATTTTTTATTTTTATATTTATAAAAATTTATATATATTTTCAGACAGCTTTCCTAACGGTGGCTTTGCTGCCTTTACGACTGGCAGCGATCACAGCATTAGTGATTATCGGATGGCTACTAGCTTGTTTAGGACTCCATGGATTGTCTGAAGATGATTTACGACGAGCACCTCTTACTGGTTGGAGACGGTAAGCTTTGGCTATTATTTTTCCCTATTAATTTTTAGCTTATAGTATTTGTGTTACTATTACTATTAATTTTATGATTTTTAAAATAGTTTATTTATGTTAAGTTATAAAATTGTAACTAATGCGCATTGAATTTTATTTTCCATCGCCAGTATTTTAAAAACAAGCCATAAAATTTGAAATTGTCATCATATGCACTTATAATTTTTAACTACGCAGTATTTAGTACCTGTCATATTTTTATCTATACATTCAAATTTGTGTTGCTTATTTTCTAGTACACGTTGTATGTAGATAACAATTATTACTAAGCGTAATTAATTTTAAGACCTTGACCACCACTTTAGTAAATATTTCTAACTATTTATGTTTCAATGTTATTTTTTTTATTAGTCATTGGCTGGGTTTTTTTTTTTATTCCTAATTAATAATTATTTTTGTAGATAATCGTATTATAGCATTATAAATAACAAGATATAATTTAAGTAATATCAAAATCGTACTAGTGAATAATAAAAGCGTTACGTAAAATGATAAAATAGCGACATGAGGGTGTTGGTGTGCTGGGTGATGAGAGCGATGTTCGTCTGTGGGGGATTCCATCAATTGAAGGTGAAGGGTCAGCAAGCAACGACTAAAGATGCACCGGTGCTAGCACTGGCCCCGCATTCGAGTTTCTTCGATGCATTGCCGGTAGTTTACCTCGGCGGACCAAGCATCGTCGCTAAAGCTGAAACTGGAAAGATACCTTTTTTCGGAAGTAGGTCTTCTTTCTTATTCCTACTTACGTAGATGATTTTTTTTTATTTTCATGTCATCAGCATCAACCAGCATTATTTATACTGTAATTATTTTTAAATTCCCTTGACAGTTAATATTAATTTTTAATCTATTTAATATTAATCTAAATTGTATGAATGTCATTGATGCATAATTAATGGTTCATTTTAATAATGCAGTTTTCTAGTTCATATTGACTGTTCTTAACTTGACTATAGAGATTTCTTAATGTCAAGGTCCGAATTTTTATTCAGATCCATACAAAGAATCTGAATTGAGGAAATTATTTGCATAATTTTTTATAAATGTTACCAATAATTATTCTAAAAAATGTTAAAAAATTTTTAACAACAATTTTGCTTGATTTCCTTAAAATTTCGTATTTTTTATAATATTCTATACCTATTATTCAGAAGCGTTGCAAAAGTTTAAAATCTTGTCTTTTAAAGATGTATCTGAAGATGTATTTTTATAAATCACTTTAAATTAAATAAATAAATAAATAAATAAAAAAATTGTAACTAAAAAACTTGAATCGAAGAAATAGATATTTAATAATTTATTATTAACGAAAAAGAAAATTATGATTGTAACTTGTGAAGAAAAGGAATTAAACTTTTAATTTCTTGACGCTTTCTAAGACACTTAGCTAATTTATCTAGTAGTACAATTGTTTTACTTTGTAATGCACATACATTTCTTCAATGCTGACAAATTAGCGTTAGCAACATTCTAGATCTGTAATTTAACTATAATTAATCACATTATACAAATAATTACTACTTATAACACTCGTTAATTATATACAGTTATAAATGATATAAAATTTTTATAATGAAGAAAACATCCTATTTTAGAATGTAAAAACTGTTTACAGATTTATTGATGTTTGTTAATTATTTTTACAGTACGGTATTACTTTTTATTATCTTCGGAGAGTCAAAGGATTGATAAAAAAAAATATTACTAGAAATTTTCAAAGGAAGAAAGAAAAGATAATAATATTTTTCTTCAAAGAAAAAGAATGTGAGACCAAGTTCTTGTACTTTTTACAAACTTTTAAAGGTTTCTTTCACTTCAATATTTTTATGACTAATATAATTTTTTCTAAACACTGTTACAGTATTAAAAATTAATTGCATTACACTCTACTTCGATTCTGCAGATAGAAATCTAAAAGCATTAAATTTATTACGGTTCTTCTTACAATTCCTTAATGCAACATTAATCTTTCTTTTTTTATCAATCATTGCCACTCATTATTTCGAGTGACGGTTCAATTTTTTAGCAATACAACAGCTCTATTTAAACATAATAATATATCACCTCGTTAATGTGGTAATGAAAACCTAGAAAAATTGTTTACTTTCAAGTAACAACAACTACAAATATTAACGACTATAAATGAAGTTCTTAAATACATAATTAGTTGTTTAGCTTTCTACTTTTCTTGTTTGATAAATATCAAAGTTATATTTTAGATAAATTTTGTAATTTCTTTATTTTCTAACTTTCTTACGTCAATAAGTCTCCGTTATTCGCTGAAGATAACATTTTTGCTATAAATATTTATTTTTAACATGAAAGTACTGTATAATTATTATATAAGTTATTATACATGTAGAAAATAAATATTTGATGTATTCTCATACATTATTTATTTATTGTAAACATTGTCTTCACTACCGTGTCATGATTTCTTCACTATCATTTTTATAATTTTAAGTAAGAATTTTTACTTGTAGATTTATAAATTATAATTATTAAAAAAATTTTTGAATATTCCAGTTGGATTTTGAGTCTAAAACATTTATTAGCTTCATCTTTCTTTAACTTTTAATTTATAGTCTTCCAGAATATTCTAAGACTTTTGTGAAAGTTATAATTTACTTTCAAGAGTCATTAGAACTCCTTTGAATTATTTTTGGAAGTCATAAAACGATTTTATAACCCCGTAAAAATTATTTTAATGTCTGTCAATTTATTTGGAATATTTATTGGTTAATGGGAAGAATATAAAAATTAAAACTTTTTATATTCTTCCTCTAAAAACACAAGCGAAGTTATATATTTTAAGCATGTAAATATATGGTGGATGGTACGGTAAAATAATCTAATGTCATCATAACTTCTTTGTACAATGAGCGATGGAAAATTAAAATTGATAAATAATAATCAGCAATCTTAAAAAGAAATAAATATATATAATAATATATTAAAATACTTATAAAATGTACATTTTAAAATATAAAAGTAAATGTGTAATACTACTACCACAGAAAAATAGTGCCATGGCTATGTTTTCTTGGCCGTTTAACATATACAGCAGCAGGAATGAAAATAGTGGTCCGGGGAAGACAAGCATCAAGATCAGAAGCTCCGATATTGGTCGTGGCGCCACACTCAACTTTCATTGACGGAGGTATTGTTTACATCCTGGGATTCCCATCAACAATCGTCAGAAGAGAGTCTGGTCTTAATCCATTTACCGGAAGTATGTTTTCTTACTCGATTATCCTTTACTGAAGCTACATAAATAATAATAATAATAATAATAATGAAAAAAATATAAACAAAAATAATAATAATGATAAAATTATCTTCTTGCCAATTCCATCCACCGTATAATAATACTTAACAATTTCACTTCCATTACTGTAATGATTGTAATCTTTTATTTCTTCTTCCTACTAATAACTAATGCTGCTCATCTGAAATGTTAAATATTATTTTTAGTTCATTTCTTATATATTATTTTACCTATTATGTTTATGTTTGTGTTTTTTTTTTGTTTGTAATTTTTTTCTTCTAAATTAATTTATAGAATTGATAAACTATACGCAGCCAGTCTATGTGTGGAGAGATGACCCCAACTCCAGACAGAACACGATTAAGGAAATAATTGAGCGTGCCACTTCAAAAGAAGACTGGCCTCAGGTAACAGGAAGCCTTTTTAATTTTTTAATATGTATTTTTAATAATTGTTTTATTTAAATTATAATGCACGAATTTTATTTTATTTTAGATAATGATTTTTCCGGAAGGTACTTGCACTAATCGATCCTGTTTAATAACTTTTAAATGTGGAGCATTTTACCCCGGTGTCCCAGTCCAGCCTGTGTGTATTCGTTATCCCAATAAATTAGATACCGTTACTTGGACTTGGGAAGGTCCCGGAGCGTAAGTTAAATTTCATGTTAATATTTTTTCTTTAGACTTTATTTTATTCATCAGCGTGTTTTCGCTAATGCTTAAACTTTCTAAAACAAAGTTACTGTTAATCGATAGTTTCAAAGTTACCATCCTTTTCTTATTATATGCTTTTATTATTAACTTTTTATATCAAGGCTTTTTTATTTCTTTTAATTGCTTAAAAAATACCTTATCGAAAAAACATTCTATTTTTACAGTACATTCCGATAAGTCTATATGGATCATTAAGTTGATAAATTACTTATCGAAAAACTGAGATTGTCGCTATCGACCGATTATTGTTAATTAATAAAATTAATGGATTTTTTTTTTATTTTTTTAGGCTTAAATTGTTGTGGCTTACATTGACCCAATTGAACAGCAGTTGTGAAATCGAATTTTTACCGGTCTACAGGCCGAGTGAAGCTGAAAAGACAGACCCTAAATTATATGCTAATAATGTCCGTCGATTAATGGCAGAGTGAGTTTTTAATTATATTGTATTTTTTGGTACTAAATATCGATAAATTAAAAAGAAATTTTTTTAAGGGATACATTTAATTGATAAGAATTTCATTTATGCAAATTAAAGAGTTATATGCACTTAGATAGCCAAAAAAAGAAGAACTTTTCAATCATTTTTTCTAAAGAGAATTTTTAGTTGATTAATATGAAAATGAATATTTATGTAGTGACTTTAAACTTTATTAATAAATTTTTTTTTTAAATATATATTTTTCATAAAATAGGGGTTGGCAAAAAAATTTTCAATTTTTGATAAAAGTTTTAAATTATGTAGAAAAATTTTAAGTACACGAAAAGAACAAGATGACACTGAATATCATTCCAGATTATACTGAGTGAAAAAAAATTTCAGATAGTAGCTAGTATAATCCAGATTACAATGAGTATAATCCAGACATGCAGTATAATCTGGATTTTTCAAGCTACTATCTGATATTTTTATTCACCACAAATATTACTGAGTATAATCTGGGATGATATCCAGTGTCATCTTGTTCGATCCGTGTACTTATCAGAATTATTATTAATCCTTAGAATAATTACTGAAAAATATAGTTAAGAAAATTGTATAAAGATTAGAAAAATTTTATTATAAAAAGACAGCTTTTTAAGTCAAATTGAAATTATATTTTCTGTGCAGTTATATTTAAATATAAGTAAATTTCAAAATAAATTTTTCTAAAATTCTAAATGCATATAAACCCTTAATTTAAAAAATATATAAAGTAAGTGACTCCTTATTGATCATCCATTACAAAATTGTTTTAAATTTGTTTCCTAAATCACAAAAAATAATTTTAGCATAAGTAATTAATTAAATCATCATAAATTAAATAAAAAAATGATTTTTGTCAACATCATAAAAAGCAAATATCTCATATTTACATTTTTAATTATTATTTATAACATATGATGTCTTCTTCGGAATATTAATTAATGAGAAAGTTTTATTAAACAATAACTGACATTTTAATTAATTAAAAAAAAGTCACCGATACTATAATTAAATCGATTGGCCAACAGAAGAGTTATGAATGACAAATTGATTGAATTTTTATTAAATGTTACAGAGCTCTCGAAATTCCTGTCTCGGATTACACATACGATGATTGTCGTATAATCAACAAAGCACACATGCTACACTTACCCTACGCAGCTGTAATTGTGGAAGCCCACAAGCTGCGCTGCAAACTCGGTCTACAAAAAGTTAAAGTAGAAGAAGAATTAGTACAAAAAAGACTGGTAAACATTGAAGAAACAGTTAACTTTAATGAATTCGCCAGGATACTTAGATTAGATGCCAAAGATCCTTCAGTCCAGCAGCTGTTCAGGATCCACGATCGTACTAATAAAGGAACAATAGATATTGAAGAGTACATGTTTACAGTTCTCGCAATAGCTAACGCAAATTCCGTCCTAGATCTCGTTGATATTGCATTTGATGTCTGCGACGCCAATGGTACTAAATGCCTCGATAATAAAAAATTACGAAAGGCCTTGAAACTTTCTCTTCAGCTGGAACCAGAAGAAAGTGATAGAATTTTTTCACAAGCCAGTCACGATGTCAGTGGAGGCGAAGCTGTATCTTTCGGTAAATGATCTTTTATTATAGAATTTCTTTGCATAACTACACCGCAAAACATGAGATTTTTTTTATCTTTACAAGATGTTATTTTACCGGTTAGGTACATGCATTCTAATATTATTGTTTTCACCTGTTTCCTTAGAAGACGTCTAATGAACGGGTTGATTACGGTTTAGAAAAAAAAAAAACTAAACTTTCATATTTCTGATAAAAAAGTTTGTTATTTTCCATACAAGAGATATCTTCCGAAAGACGTAATAAGTACATAACAAAATACAAGTTTCTATCATAGATCATAATGATAGGTTTGTTAATTTATTTAAATTTTCTTTTCACGATACTAAAAGTTTTTAATTTTTTGACATGAAAATTAAACAATTATTTGAGACATTTGTTTTAATTAAGGAGTTTTTTTTTTAATAGAAAAAATGATATTTTTGCTTATTATTATTCTTTACTTAATGAACCTTAAAAAGAACAACCATATATAATTATTAATTAAAAAATAATAGATTGAATTATTGTGGACCGTGAAGCTTAACAATTGCCAGTTTTTTTTTTTTTTTTTATTATTTCTTCTTATTTCTTTGCATCATTAATTTTAATACATTTAAGTACAATAATTATCCCATTATTTTTTCAGAGGATGTTATCACAGTATTGGGAACAAGGACCGAATTCAGTCATATCTTCGCAGATGACAGTGAAGGCCGTCGGAAGAAAACCATTTGAGAATGTCTCTTCGGCTCGTCGCCTAGTCCTCAAATTAGGAAAAGTCGGGACTCAGACAAGCCGCTTCTGATGGGTGTATGCTCGAACTCCGTATAAATGATTAAATAATAAAATAGAAAAAAAAAAAACCTAATAAGAACAACCAATTTAAATAAAAATAACTTACTCTAAAGATTCTGAATAATTAAGCTCTTCCTAATAAATAAATAAATAATTAAATAAATGAATGAATTAATAATTTTTTTTTTGCTCGTTATTATCAAGTCATGTAAATAGGAGATAATGAGAGTATTGGTAGGACAAAGAGTAATTTTCAGCATTATTAACTTATTAAATATTAGACTAGGATACTCGATCATGCAAATATTAGATTTATTTAAGTAGATTACTCAGGGTTAGTGATCACATTCTAAACGCTTGATAACATCGACAGATTAAATAGCAATATTATTCAATATTATAAATCTTTTTTTTTTAATTCAGATTTTAGCATTATAGAGAGATATATATTTAATGTTATTTAAAGTTCATATATTGCTCAATAATTCATTTAATATTGTTATTTATTTATTATCATTAAACCTTTATTCAGAGATCGTTAAGCAAAATGAATTTGATATGTTAATAGACAATTTAGTATATCGCGAGCCGTCGTATCATCAAACGTTCTCTAAGCGTAACTTAAATTTATTTGTATACTTGAATACACATAGTTATGTAAATGTATATATAGAAATTAAATAAATATATTATTCTTACATTTTTTAAGGTTTTTTTTTATTTATCTGTTATTTTATAAATTATTTTAACAATAAATATTTCTCATTTATTCTTTAAGATCAAGATTAAGATATTTTTCACAACCTTTAATGATAATTATTTAATTAATCACCGTAGTGGCGTTTAATAAAATTTCAAAAATTTTGGATTTAAAGAATTAAATTCTCTATATGTTTCATTTATTAACAATTATTATTTTTATAAATTTATTGTGTAAAAAAAATAATTAGCAAATTTAAATAAAGATCTCAAAAATTTTTGGCACTAATAAAATGAAAATTATTTTTTATTTAGTTTCAGCCAAAATAAAATTCTCATTTTGATTATCAATTGTACGCAAAATATTTGTAGAAATAAAAAAAAAAAAAAAAAAATACGTATAAAAAAAATTACAGTAAAATTAAAGTTATGAGATTCCAGTAATGGTAACATTGATCATTTACAATAAAATTTAATACATCTCAAATAAAATGAATGCAGAATTAAATCTACTTTTAGAGAGATCGTTAAAAATTGATAATAGCCGTCTTTTAATATTGTAATAAGTATAAAAATTTATATATACATAAATAAATATTCTGATATATACATATATTTATGAAACCGTATATATAGAAATAAAATAATTTTGTTCATGAGTCGAATTAATCAACAGTCCAATAATAATTGTGCGATTTAAGCGATTTTGAGCAGAGTAAGTATGTTTAGTACCTGTACTTTAATTTTATTAAGAAAAAACTAAATATCACACCGTTAATAATTAAATTATTATATTAAAATTTCTATCAAGAATCTTTTCATTTTACAGCGTTTTTTTTTAGAGCAATAAATTAATAATTTTATTTTTAATTAAATTAATACTAAACACATTAATCACTAAAAACAATTAAACTGTTTTCAATAAATTTTTTTTTAATTCAAAATTTGTATTTATTTTCTTAATTAATAATAAAATATTTAAAAAATAAGAAAACAGTTATCAAACATCCTACTCTCCTCAAAACTCAATCACGATTACTAAAAATTTAAATTTCTTGCTCTTTTTGTATAACATTTAAAAAAGGCACCTCATATAATTTATGTACACGATTATCTTCATTTCTTACGGAATATGTTAGTAATACCCGGGGAGGTCGGCTTTGGACTAAACATTTTCGACATCCTCTGTCTCATGTCTTCAACACCTTGGCCCACATTGGTAGAAGTGAGCGGTAATGATAGTGGTGAGCTGGGAAATGTCATCCTAAAAGCATAAATAAATATTAATTAACAAAAAACTAGTTTAATAATCTACTATTTTTTTAATTTCAGTAATCCCTTATTAAACATATATCTTTAAGACAGTAAAAAGTTTGAATAAAATATTTCATTTTTTCTATTAAAAAAAAAATTGTTGAAAAAAATTGTTGTAGGTCATTTTTTCCCGTAGGAAACCCATGTAACCTCTTAATTAATTTTTAATTAATTCTAATTATTAATTTTTATTAATTATTAATCTAATTTTTAATTAAATTCAAATGAATTTTTCTCTTAAATAAATGTTATTTAATTTTAAATAGTTTCTATTGATGTATATTGCCGATAGGCGTATGTTGATTAATAAATAAATAATGTAAAAAAACAAACTCATACTTTTCATTATTTTTCGCTGTATTGTGTCGTGACTCAGCTTCTCTGATTAGAGACTTAACGCTATCTCTCTGGTGCGGTAACAATTGATTAGTTAAAGTTTCTAAGTACTTCAAGCCCGGCAATAAAACACTCATGGTACACCGATCGCTGAGAGAACTGTACACTAGAACCGAGTATGCATCAAGTAACGCAGTTGTTAACTCGATCTTATGCGCTTGTTGAGATGCAGAAGCCGTTATTCCGGCCAAGTGTGGGGCAATAACATCCTCAATGTAATGTTGAGAGCAATTTGGAGCTATACAAGTGAGTGTAGTTATCAAAGGTATCGTTAAAGTTTGGGAAACTCCTTGAGGATCTTTAACAATCGACTCCAAAGTCAACCGGCCTTTGTCTCTCACTTGATTTGCCGCGCAATCAGTAATAAGTTTCCCAAGAGCTGAAACAGCTGCTGCTTTTACAGTTATGTCGCCATCACTCGCAAGAGTCACTATCGCTGGAGCGACCCGGGATATAACGAGCTTCTCGTCGACAGTGGCGATAATATTCCCAAACAATTTAGACGTTACACATCTTACGACATTCTTCTGGTGAACAACTCCATCCCAAAGAGCACTGACAACTTCCTCAACGACATCCGGCTGCTTGCACAGTAATTTAACAGCTATTGCCAGACTATCAACTTCAAATCCGTTTATTGAAAAATTAACGATGAAATGTTTAAGTATTTTAGTTACTTCCTGAAAATCTAAAGTCGACAAAATAATTAAATAAGCCGGAATAAATGCCATACTTATCGGTGAGCGATCAGAAGACATTAATTTCTGCTCGCAGGCCATCACTTCGTCTTGGAAAAATTTCTTGATCCTCAATTCGATAATTTGGCGTCCTAAACCATTGCACAGAGAATGTATGTACATCAATAAATTATTCAGGACATTTTCTTGGGTGACATCTATCAACCTCAGCATCTCCAAAATATCGGGAATTAATTTTATCGTCAGCCACTCGAATTCCGGCCACATATCTTCCCAATTATTTGTCAGAAAAACATTCAATATTTTACCAATGTCCAAACTTTCTGCAAAAGCCAATGGTTCCATAATTGCTGAAGGACATAGCCTCAGAATTTTATCCGGGACTTCAGAGGGTGTTTCTTCGTTGACTAAAGTCCTGACAATATCCGTGTCCGCCATAAAAACAATCATGTGTGGTAGTAATATTTTAAGAGTATCAATTAACCGTATAATTTTATCATCATTCCTACCATCCTTACTTTGCGAGTATTTAATGTTAGATTTGTCAGCTTTGATAAAATTATTTTTCAACCTTGAAAGTATTCTGGACATAAGATGCGACAGTATTCTTTTCAGAGACAACGCCCACTGAGCTAAGGTGGGTAGTAGCAAAGAAGAAGCTGCCTGGAATACTTGGGTAGATTCATCACCTAGTGCAGTGAGCGTCAGCTCCTCAAATTGAAAATACTTATCAGGGTCATCAGTGAGAGCAACCAGTAAAGCCAGGCTGCGAATGACCGCTGCGCGTACAACGGGTTCTTTATCATCAAGCAGCATCTGCTGAAGCATTGATATTATCAGCGAATTACGTACCGCGTTAGAAGTGTAAGGAGCCAATGCTGAGCAGCACTCGACCGCCAGTAAACGTCTCTCCGGGTACTTGTGTTGACTCTGCTCCCAACAGAGAGTTATCAGCTCCTCTGGCTCCGGTGGGACCCCGTCGATTTTAATCGCCGTGATCATTGCCTTCAGCAAGACTCTTCTTTCTTCCTGCTGGGGTTTCTTCTTCAAATTGAACAGCAGCTGCAGCAGCTTATCCCGATCGTTATTCTTCGGCAACACCCGAATAGTCTTCAGAAGCAGCGGAATAACTTCTTCACGTTTCGCAGATATAACATTCGGGCTAACTACCAGCAAGCTTTTCGCCAGAAGATTTATCAGCGACTCCGAGGAGTTGCTTTTTATCAGCTCGTCGACCATTTGCACTCCCGTGGATGTTGTGGTTATCGAGTACGTCAAAATGTATTCCTTGAAACGCTCTGGAATGAATCTATTGGGAAGATTTATAAATACTGAAGAAGACTCCGGGATATCTAGCCTTGACAGCTGAACTTTCGTCCAGTCTTTATCTCCTGGGTCTGTGTCCTCCAGACTCATCACTGCTGATATGCTAATGCTGTCATCATCCACCTGGCTACCACTCAGCGTTTCCTGGAGAACTGACTCCAGCGCGTCTAATTTCTCGGGTGTCGTCGAGGTTGAAGCTACACTGGAAATTTTATTATCATTATTACAATTATTTTCATTACCTTGATTGCTGTTATTTTTGTCAATAATTTCTTCATCTTTTTTATCTTCCTGATTTTTAACAAACTCAAATTCTTCCGAGACATTTAAATCTTTCGTTTCATTTTCATTTATTTCTTCGCTATTAATTTCTTCATTAATTACTTCTTCTTCTTCTTCGATAAAATCAGTTTGCGTGGAAACGTCAACAAAAGACTTATCCAAACCAGTTTTGCTCAAAAATTCCCTGTAAATTACCAACAAATTTGGAGGCTTGGGTATATTAAGGCCAACGTCGTCCCAATCCTCGAAATCCTGGTTCTCATTTTCGTCGCTAAACGTTATAGAGGTCAACTTATAACACTGCGTTAACAAATATTCATAAACGAGGTAATTAAGTGCGCGCTGCTCGTGAGGTTTTATTGAATAATTCTTATCGCTCAAGTCCTTACTGGTTTTTTTATCCGGAGAGGTGCTGGCTGATTCGGTAACTACCGTGAGATTTGCCCGAAGCGCTGATATATTTTCTCTGGCTTTTCGGAGCTCGAACTCCAGAACAGCGACTCGCTCGTCCACCCCGCCGTCGTCTTCAGAGTACCTTGTCATGTCCAGAGAGTCCAAGGTCGCCTGGCTGGAGGATCTTGCTATGGATACAAAAGATTCATTTTTAGTCGAGCAGTCAAAATTATTGGGGTTGGAAAAATAGTCACGGAGAAGCGGTAGTTCCTTTCCAGACTCGGATAATTCAGCGTGAAGCTCTAGGGCGGTTAGTAACAATTTTTCACTTAATAATTTACTGGCAATGTCATAGTATGACACTGATGACGTATCACTGTGTTGTTTTACGCTATTAGATGCTGGGTTGGACGGTAAATTCGTAATAGTATCCATTATTGCAATGGTTTTTTTTTTTTTAACTATTTCTTCGGAGGAATTATGATGTTAAATAATAAAATAATAATTTTGTTATTATTTATATTTGCCATTGAATTTTATTTACCACTTACTGTACATTCACTATACACTGGGATGAGCCATTTTGGGTATACAGTTTTTGTTTTTATTTTTTCAAGTAAGTAGAAATTTAATTACCAACGGTAGTGAATGTTGAAATATGGGAAATATGATATGAAACAATTAGCGAAATCCGCTAGATGGCAGTGTAAGAAAATTACTAAGACTTATTCATGGATCATTCAGTCGTCTCTCTAACGTCATTTATCCAATCATAATTGATCGTACATAGCTCATACCTAGCGTAGTGCATACACACCAGTGATTACATCTGTATTCAGTATAATAATAATTTAACTTTTCTTTCTCTCTTACCTACGGCTCCCGTGGATATGTTACAACTAAAACAAACAACTCTAAACAATAATCCTGTTCTATTAGTTGCTAACAAATAATGTGAAACTCCAGTGCTCAGTACAATCCTAGATCATAAGAGATTAAATTCACAGTCCGGTAAACTGTGAAAAGACTGAGACAGTCAAAAATTCAGTTGTATTTGATGCTTTACTTTAAGCGAACAAGTTGACGATAAACTGTGTTTTTTTTTTTATTCATACTTAGTTTATTTTTTTTTTTTTATTTTCGCCTCAACATATTCTTAAGGACATCCGGTATCTCAATAATTGCTTTGTTTCTTCTCTACTATTTATTTTTTTTATAGAAAATTCTTAATCGTTAATTAAACCGTTTTTATTAATAATTATTATTGCCGCAATAACTAATTAGATTTATTGAATAAAAATTTCAAGAATTGCGTGGGCTGTGGTAAATTAATATATTATAAATAAAATTAAAATAAAATTGTGATAACAATTTTAGTCTATAAATATAATCTAATGGGTGCAATTGTTGTTGTTTAGAGTTTAGGGTAATTGTAGTTTATAATTAAATAAACAACAACAATAACAATAGAATTAGTACAATCCTACGTTTAAACGTAACACAAGGATCACACACGGACTGGCTTGTACTAGTGTCACCGCCCATATGTCATGTGTCCTAGTGAATGAGTAATCATGTACTGTCAAGACAAGGGATCAGCAACATCTAAGGGTAAAGAGGGTGGTGAGTACAATTTAAATTTTTAAATCAATAATTATTTTATTTATAAATACACTTAACTTATCTGGAAGTTAATGGTACTTAAATATAAATAGAAGTTCATGTTTAAGACAATAACAACTGACTATTAAGTATTGTTAGCTTAACTGGTACATGTGGCGAATAATTGATGTGTGATAATTTATTTTTTATTGTATTTATTATTGCAGGTACCGTGACAATGAGAGACAAAAAAAATGGTGCACTTAGCAGAGTACAGAAGTTAAAAAAACGGCTGAGCCACAGTTTTGGTCGATTGTGTATGTATTTATTATTATTATTATTTTTTTTTTTTTTTTATTTATTATTGAGTTTAAATTGATTAATTTTTATGAAAATTAATTTAGCAGATATTTGATAATTTTAAGAATTTTTGTAATGAATAAATTATAGTAAAAAAATTAGAAAAAAAAATTGAAAATGCAATTTTTTAAAAATCATTTTTCGGAACAAATTTATTTGTTAAAAAAAAAAACTAAAAATGTCCTATTCCGCTATGCCAATTATTTTAATTTTTGACTATCTTGTTTTTTTTTGTTTTTTTTTTTTTTTTGTTTTTTTTTTTTTTTTTTTTTAAATGAAAATATTGATTTTTTTTTAATTATAAGTAATAAAAAATATTTTTCAGCAATATCAAAAGAAGAGGCAGAAGACGTAGCCAATAGAGGGCCACTTCCGTACAATGGATTCTCGGAAGAATTTTTGGATCGTTTGGAGCGAAATGGTAATGTTTCTGGCGACAAAGATCGCCGTTACGGTAAGTAGTTTAATAGTAACTATTGAGCTACGTCATCGGTGATTAATGTCATTTTTTTAGTGTCTGTCAGAAGCTTTGTATCATTCATAGAAAGTTGAATCATTTTATTGAATAATGTGATTAACCCGTATGAGAAAAAATTGTTCCTAAAGCCTGTATAGAGACTAAATTAAGCGGGATTTTTTGTTAAATTACATTTATTGTACTCTATAATTTTTTATGATAATTTTATAATAAAAATAATTATTGAGTAATCGATAAAAATTTTTTTAGTTCAAGACAATGTACAGGAATAATTTTTTCGTAAAAAAGTCAAAAGTTATTATTCTACTAAACTTTGCAATTTCTTCAGCAAAATCAATTACTTCAACATCTATATCACATGTCTCAGAATGGTCAGGCGTTGGCGATCATGAAAGAGTTCATCGGCAGCTATCAGTATCCAGTGATTCAAAACTACTTGATGAGGATATACGAGAAGAAGCAAGAGTTATTCTGAGACCACGTCGACCACCTCGACCTAAGTCTGAAGTATTTTTGGGACCCGATCCTGGGCCAAGACGAACTAAGAGATTTTCTGCATTTGGAGTAAGTAATTATTAAACTCAGTATTTTTATTATTTAATAATTAATTTGAAAAAGTTTGATTGATTTTTTAAAATTAAAATGATTTATTGAACATACGCTTATCGGCAATATACATCAATAGAAAGTGTATTTAAAATTAAATAACATTAATTTAAAAGAAAAATTAATTAGAATTTATTTATTTATTTAATTTTAATGCCAAGGCGTTAAGCCAAATGGCAAATTGTATATACATAAATAATGTTCAAATAAGTACAGTAAATTTTTGAGTATTACTAAAATATATGAAGCAAATTGCATTAAAAAAAAAAAAAGAAATGTACATCATATTATTATTTACATTACGTTATTATATTATTTTCCAGCATACTAATTTCTGACTATTTATTACTTGATAAAAAATAAAATTAATGAAAAGAAAAAAAAAATCTTCGTAGTTTATACATGAATGAGTAATTATTGTTTTTTGAAACATTTTACACCAACTATAAATGAAAAATTTTATTTTAGGGAGACTCGCCTTTTGGTAAATCCGAAGGGTACATAAAGCTGGAACAGTTGGGTGAGGGTTCCTACGCGACGGTATTCAAAGGATACAGTCACCTCGCAGAGCAAGTAGTCGCGTTGAAGGAGATTCGACTCCAAGAGGAAGAAGGAGCACCGTTTACTGCCATCCGCGAAGCAAGCTTACTAAAAGAGCTTAAACACAGCAATATAGTTACGTTACACGACATTATTCATACTCGAGAAACACTTACTTTTGTGTTTGAGTACGTTCACACTGATCTCTCTCAGTATATGGCCAAGTACGGCAGCGGTGGCTTAGATCCTCGAAATGTCAGGCTCTTTCTCTTCCAGCTTTTACGCGGATTGGCTTATTGTCATCGCAGGTGAATATTTACATTTATTTTTTGTTTTTATTACAAGAATCACGAGTTTAATATTGAATGATAAATTATTAGAGATAAAAAATGTTGTCTTTAACTATCTTAATTTGAATTTATGAGAATATTATATATTTAACTTAATACTTATTCGCTTTTTTTATTCTATCACGAATTTAATCTCGAAAAATTCTTATTCAAAAATTTATTGCCATGAATTCGTGATATGGTTAGTAAATTTTTAATTTATTATCTTTTTATTTTTTAATTTACAATTTACAAATACTGAAAAAAGATTTTTTTTTATATTTTTAGGAAGACAATTATTTTAATTATTTATAGTACACAGAAACATGAATAAAAATGAGAATAAAAATAAGAACAGTACTTGAAAGAGTAATCGACCTAATTACAAAAGAATGTCAGTATTATAAGTACTGAAATGTTTGTTTTAATTTCAGAAAAGTGTTACATCGTGACGTAAAACCTCAAAATCTTTTAATTAGCGAATTAGGAGAATTAAAGCTCGCTGATTTTGGATTAGCGCGAGCTAAGTCTGTTCCATCACATACATATTCACACGAAGTAGTGACACTGTGGTACAGGCCACCAGACGTACTTCTCGGGTCAACAGAATATTCAACTTCACTAGATATGTGGGGCGTGGGATGTATATTTGTTGAGATGCTCACAGGTGTACCGACATTTCCGGGTGTGCGATGTACCTATGATCAGCTCGATAAAATATTCAAAATATTGGGAACGCCGACAGAAGAGACATGGCCTGGAGTAACACGGCTCCCTGGCTATAAACCTCACCGACTGGCATTTTATCCAATTCGTAAACTCGGGCTCTCTTTCCCGAAACTTTACGACGTCGCTCAGGGGGATATTATGGCGTCTTCACTATTACAACTCAATCCAGACGAGCGAATAGACGCTGAAGAAGCACTCAGACATCCGTATTTTACGTCTTTACCTAGAAAATTATACGAGTTGCCGGATGGTGAGTAAATTACTTATTAACTCAATGGTTTTATTAACAGCATACAAGTAGATTATATTCAAATGACTTCTCATATCACGTTTAACTGTTTACTATTGACTCACATTACGTCATTTATATTCTTTTGTTGTAGGATATTTTATTGGTGTACTGAATTATTCATCTGAAAATTTTTTATAATATCACTTGAATTTTTAATCTGAACTATATTAATTATTTTTATTAAGAATTACAAGACCATTAATTAAAGTAATTAAATTTTTAATCAGATAGATGCCCAACATTGATATTTTTTTTCTATTTACCAGTCAACGCTGTTATTTTTTGATAAACTAAAAATTATATAAGCTTGTATTTTATTAAATTTATTAATTAAATTAAAATATTTACAGAGGTCTCGATATTCTCAGTAGAAGGTATTTATCTTCATACTGAAACCGGAGATACGTACATGGACTCACGTCATACGGCACTCAAAACTTGAGGACGAGGATAGATTGTTCAAATAATAATTAAAATTTTATTAACTGTAAGAAGATAAAAAAAAAAAAAAGTGCTAAAAAATCACCCAACCGAATTGAAATTATACTTAATTTTATTTTATTTTATTGATTATTTACTATTTTACTTTCAATTATAAATGAGCTAATTAGAGTTGAGATATTTTATTCTGTAATTGATTCTTTTTATAATTCTGGATATATCATCAGTAAATTATTAATTAATTATCAAAAAAATAGTTGTATTTACTATTAAAAAAAAAAGTAAGCAGATATGAAAGAAATATTTCATTATATTTAGAGTAACGACATTTTTAAAAATGAGTCGGGTAAAATGTTTGCATTTGAAAGTTATATACACGTTGTAGAAAGCAAGAGCACGCACAACCCATCCTCGCACTTCGTCCAACTACTAGTTATTAGACTGAATCAATCAAAAAGTTTTGAAAAAACGTAAAAATATCCATTTAATATCATGCCACCGTTAAGGTTCTTACCGAGTTATTTCAATAACGATGATTTGATATATAATAGCAATTATTAATTAAATAGATTAATACTACTATTAAAATTTTTAATAACAACAACAATAAAAAATTAATGGAAGATTTGTAGCGCTCGAAGCACGTTTTAATAATTATTGTGTTCACTCACACATCTGTTTATTTGTGTCATTTAAAACATTAAAGTACGTAAATTACAATCAAATGGTACATAAAGAACATAATGTAATAAATAGAATTAATTAGAAAATGTATTCAAGTAAATAATTAAGAGAAGATAAGTGTAACAACGGTTTAATAAATTAATCGTTGAGGTATAAATGTATAAAATAATAATAACAGTAATAATATTAATAACAATAATCAGTGAGTGTTATTTGAATTGATAATTTTATAAATTAATAGTAGTTTAATTTTTATAAAATTAATTACATAGGCCAATGGTGCTCGAATATATTATTATATAATTAAATAATTAATAAATAAATAAATAAATGGATTTAAAGACAGATTTAAATATCATATTGATGAATAATATCGGTTAACTAGTAATAGTTACCTAGGTGATATTATAAATAAATAAAAAGAAGTAATAAATAATAATTATTAGTTATAATTATAAACATTTAGATAAATTTGTCAATCAATCAGCGTTACAAGTCTTCCAGTAAACTCGAGCTAGACGTACTCTAAAATTAATTATTATTACTATTATTATTATTATTTTATCCATCATTAGTAACATTACTTATATCACCATGTATTAGTACATTTATATATAAATTTTCTTTATTTTCTGCGCTATTTAATATCGCAAAAGTTTTATTTGCTCATGTATACTATGCAATTATATTATATAAAATGGTTTTTGATTTTTTTATTCTTTATAAACGAAAAGAGTTTATAGTACAGTACACTAGTATGTAAATAGAACACCATTTATTATTTTTATTTTTATTATTATTACTATTATCATATTTGTTTTTATTAGAAATATCAGCAAAAATAGTTGAGCAATGACTAATCAATATGCATTTTTATTAATAAGGAGAACAAGTTCGTTACACATGATCTCTCCAATCTTTTTATTTACATTTAGATGTAATTACATTTTTAATGAAAAAAAAAAAACGTAAAAAATAAACAGTGACTTTCATTTTCCCTTTTTTTATAATGTAAATTATATTGGTTATTAATTATTAACATAAATTATATACATATATATATATTATTGTCAAATAGACTGTATCTGCTAATACAATGAATTTATTTCTTGCTTGAGTGTTATTATTATTTTTTTAATTTGTTTTCGCAATTGTAGTTTATTTCTTCCCTGATTGAACAAAAGGATTAATAATATAAAAAAAGTATTTTAAAGCATTAAATCTTCAAAGTTTCAAATTCTTTTTAATTATTGCCTATTAGGAGAGTTCAACATATGAGAGATCATTTTCATTACAAAAAAAAAAAAATTGCACTTGTAATTTTTTTTAATCTTTAGAGGTGAAATTTTTTTTTATATTAATTTAGTTGCCATAGAAATAAAAAAATTTATAGATATCTGTTAATTTCAATTTTATTTTAATCCTTCTGTTTTATTGCAGGATTAGTTAATGATTCATGATAATTGCATTTGGCTTTTATAAGTTATTGCTTTAATTAGTTTTTAACTTGTAACAAAATTATGATACTAAAGTGAGCAGACATTTGACAGTTTTATTTTTATAACAAATAAATTTAAACAATATATTTTTTTAAAAAGTTTCCATCTGTAATTTTAAAAATTTTTTCATAATAATTTTGTTTTAAAAATCTAAAAAATTGACAGATGTCTGCAAATTTCAGCACCGTAATAAAATATGACATTTAATTTAGCTGTCACTTGACAATTTTTTAATTTTCTTTAACAAAAAACTTTGTTTTAAAAAATTTTTTTTTAAAAATTGCATTTTTAATTTATTAAAATTTCTACAAGTCCATTTTTTTAATAATGTTTTTTTGCCATAATTTGTTTATTAAAGAAAATTTAAAAAATTGCAAAGTGACAGCTAAATTAAAAGTCATTAATAAAATTAATTTTTCTAAAACTGAATTATAAAATTTACAACAAAATAGACGGCAGTTATCTTCATTGGTTCTTTTTAATCACAGTAAAATATTTATTCCCAACAATAATATATTTTTTTAATAAAAAATAAATGTAAAAATAATTTTTAAAAGTAAAATATTTTCAGAATGATATAATTTAAATTATTTGTAACAGCACATAAATTATCATCAGTAGATAAAAGTGTTAGAAATAAAACCACAAAAGAGGTCTCTAGTTTTCATATCTCATATTTTTAAGATTGTGGAGATAGAGGCTGAGTTGGCATAAATAGAAAAGCTATATGTGTATATTTATTAATCTATATATATATATATAGACATACCACTTCACAGCCTAACACCAGCACCAACACTACTGTCATTACTGTATAGGTAGCCGAGCCTAAATGATATATAGGTCTATTTGTTGTACATTAAACATCAGTTATAATCGTATTCTATCAAATAATATAGTATTTATTAATAATATTAATAACGAAAAAAACTACTTAATTAAACTGACATCAGAGTTATTAAAAAGAACCATGTCTACTGCCGAAAAGAAACCGTTTTATCGTTTACCTGCTAATATTCGTCCCCGTCATTACGAGATAACCCTAGTTCCAGATATTGATAAGTTTACTTTTAAAGGAAACCAAACGGTTAACATTGAAGTAAGATATTTATTTTTTAATTTACTACCTATTATCTATTTTTTATTCATTAATGTGTTTTTTAATCATCAAGATAATAAAAGCAGCGGAAATACGACAGTTTTTATTTTTAAAAAAGACAATGAAAAAAATTTCAAACAAAGATTTTGTGATATTTTAAATTTTTTATTTTTAAAATTAGCTGTCGTATTTCTTCTATTTTTATCATCATACTTATTTATAAATTATTAAGGTTGTAATTCATAATTTTTATTATATGTAAAAAAAATATTACAGGTAAAGGAACCAACTGATAAAATTATCTTAAATTCGTTGGACATTGACATCAACAGCGTAACGTTCAAAAATGACAAAGGAACGAGCATTAATGCTGAAAAAATTGATCTACTGCCAGCGGATGAAACTGCTGTTCTTACTTTCCCCGAGAAACTTCCAGTAGGAAAGGATGGTAGTCTTAACTTTGATTTTGTTGGGCAAATTAATGACAAAATGAAAGGATTGTACCGCAGTAAATACCACGGGTAAAACATTTTTCATTTTGTCTTTTTTTTTTTTTTTTTTTTTTTTTCTCTCTCTCTTAAACACTAAAACTAAAAAAATGAAAAAGAAACTTAAGCTAAACTTTGGAAGGAAAATACTTGAACTATTTACTTAACGTCAATTACAAGGTTTTCATAAGTAAGGTAAATTTTAAAAACAAAAAATTATTTAGATAGTAGGTCATCAAATCATTATTTATTTGGTATACAGAGGCTTGGAAAGAATTCCTACTAGAGCTAAAAATTATTTTCATATTTAATGCATTTCACCAAGTCTTGAATTATTAAACAAATATGTCTTTCTCTCTCTAATGAAATAAAATATTTAAAATAAATACAAACTATATGTAAGTATAGTTGTAGCGAATTCCCTAAAAATATGTTTTGTATATAAAATTTTATAGTCGTTTTATATCCTCAACATATAAAAAAATATAAAAACTAATGATAAGATTACTTGGACTTGATAAAAAATATTTTTGTGAGATTGCCGATGTTGAATTTCAAATTTAAATTTTAAATAAAAAAATTAATTTGATTTAAGAGAAATAAATCTTGAACCTAGAATATAATTTTGAAGAGTTTGATAATCTTGAAGCACACAAAAAAAAGTCTTGAATTAAGAGGAAACATCACTGTGACGGTCGAAAAAAAAAGGTGATTTTCAGGAATTTTTTTGACAGGCACAGTAAAAATTTTTCTTTTTTTATTGAAGGTGATACAACTCATCAAAATTAAATTCTTGATTCGTAAATTTTTATCTCGAATCAAGTAAGTATTTTTTTTATCAGTATATTAAGAATATTTTCAGCATCTATTAATATATTAATGATAAATCTCAAAAAGCTTTTACCCAAAAAATAACAGACTTTAATTACTTGTATCTGCAATTATCACCTTATTGAAGGTCTTACTTTTAGTGAAAAAAATAATGGATCAGCAGCGGTGACTTATCTTTGCCCGACATCAGCTCGCAGAGTGTTTCCTTGTTGGGACGAGCCGGTGATAAAAGCCAGCTTTGGCTTGACCCTAATCCTGCCAGTGTCTAAGTCACTGGTGGCATTAAACAACATGGTAAGCACTAAAAGATAAACGAAATTAACAAAAACCAATTGTGCATTACAGAGTTGACGGTAGTGTTAAATATGCAGCGGTGACGCAATTCGAAGCGACAGATGCGCGACGTTGCTTTCCCTGCTGGGATGAGCCGTCAGTAAAAGCCACGTTCGGTATTACTCTGCAAATACCAGCTGGTTACACGGCCCTTTCAAACATGGTAAACAACGTTCCGTAATCTGTATTTAAATTTCCTATTTATTAATTAATTAATAATAAATCATTTAATTTTATTTATTATTTTACTTACAGCCGGTGGAAAAAGTTGAGAAAAAAGGAGACCTAGAGGTAATAAAATTCGAAAAGACTCCGGTGATGTCGACGTACCTGGTAGCTGTAGTTATCGGAGAATTTGATTACCTGGAAGATAAAACCGTGGATGGAACGGTCGTGAGAGTTTACACGCCTAAATCAAAGCAAGAACAAGGTCGATTTGCCCTAGAAGTTGCGACAAAGGTGCTGCCGTACTACAATAAATACTTTGGAATATCTTATCCGTTGCCAAAGATGGATCTAATTGCTATTGCCGACTTCTCAGCCGGAGCTATGGAGAATTGGGGCTTGGTGACTTATCGAGAGACTTGTCTGCTAGTCGACCCACAAAACACCTCAGCCGCTTCAAAGCAGTGGATTGCTCTGGTGGTAGGCCATGAATTGGCGCACCAGTGGTTTGGAAATCTCGTCACCATGGAGTGGTGGACTCATTTGTGGCTCAATGAAGGCTATGCGTCTTTCGTCGAGTTCCTTTGCGTCGCCCATTTGTTCCCTGAATACGACATCTGGACCCAGTTTGTTACAGACACCCACATCAGAGCCCTGGAGTTAGACGGGCTCAAAAACAGCCATCCCATTGAAGTACCAGTAGGTCATCCCACTGAAATAGATGAGATCTTCGATGACATTTCTTACAACAAAGGTGCCAGCGTTATTCGCATGTTACACTCGTACATTGGCGACGAGGACTTCCGCAAAGGCATGAATCTTTATCTTAAGCGTCACAGTTACGCGAATGCGGAAACGGAAGATCTATGGGCTGCGCTGCAAGAGATGAGCAACAAGCCTGTAGGCGAAGTTATGTCAACTTGGACTAAGCAGCAAGGATTTCCTGTTATTAAAGTTCAACAGCGTCAACAAGGTAATTACTAAGAATACCGTTTTATTATTAAGAAAAAAAAGTTTATTATTATTATTATTCATAATTCATAATCTATATTATTAAGAAAATAAGAAAAATTTTGTGTTCTGGATAGTCATATGATAAAATCGGTTTTTTTTTTAGTGAAATTTAATGTCATTGCAAAGGTCTTGATTTGAATTTGTGCCTTTTCAAGGTTTCATATCATTCTCACCGATAGTCAATTTATTATAAGTAATTAGGTTATATTCGAAAATGCTCTATCTCTAGATACATAATTAAGAAATGACCTTGTATCTTGTGAACTATTGACATTTTTAAAGATATAAGCTCATCCCGATGTTACACTCATCAAGACCTTTCATTTGACCTTTTATTTGAGTACCCACATCTTTTTCATATATTTATATATATATTATATATATGTATATATGAAAAATATATCAAAAATACATGTGGGTACTCAAATGAAAGCTCTTGATGAGTGTAACATCGGGATGAGCTTATATCTTTAAAAACGTCAATTTTTAAGAAAGTACAGTGCAATTTAATTAATGATATTCAAATTTAAAAACCGAATTATTAAAATAGACATATTATGAATTACAAAACAATAACTTACATTTAAAATTATTTATATATTAAAAAAAAACTCGATTAACTGAAAATAACACATGTAATAAGTTGTTAGCCTTCACTTGACTCACAAGTACCATACAAACGTCCTTTTAAATAACTTGCAAACTTAAATCAATGTCATGATAAATTTAACTTCTTCATCTTCTATTTTATAACAATAAAATAAATAATATTATCAATAATTACAAAATATAAATTTTCAGGTAACGACCGAGTATTAATGCTGACGCAGGAAAAGTTTCTCGCTGATGGATCCGTTGATGAGAGTAAAAATCTGTGGATGATACCGTTGAGTGTCAGTACTTCAAAATCTCCAAACGAAGTTGCGCTCAGTACAGTTATGAGCGAAAAGGAAAAGCAAGTTGTTATCAAAGATGTGCCAGAAGGCGCTTGGATTAAGATTAATCCAGGTACAATCGGTTTTTACCGTACACGTTATGACTCACAAGCGCTGTCTTTGCTAATGCCAGCGCTTAAAGATCGCACTTTGCCGCCATTGGACCGACTGGGGCTATTCGATGACCTGTTCGCGATGGTCCAAGCTGGACATACTTCAACTGTTGATGTACTTAAATGTATGCAGGCCTTCCAGTACGAGGACAACTACACCGTTTGGTCCAGTATCATCAGTAGTTTAGGAAAAATAGGAATCCTGCTTGGTCACTTGGACATCTACGACAACTTCAAAGCTTTCGGTCGCGCGATGCTCAAAGACATCACCAAGAAACTGGGCTGGGAGCCCAAGAGTAACGAAAGCCACTTGGACAATCTCTTGAGGTCGCTTATTTTGGGCAGGATGGCTCTGCTGAAGGACACAGACACCATCGAGGAGGCCAAGAGACGATTTGAGCTTCACGTCTCCAAGAAGTCGATCCTGGCTGCTGATTTGAGAACGCCAGTCTACCGTGCGGTCCTTTCTGTTGGCGACGAGAAGACCTACGAGACCATGCTCAAGCTCTACAACGAAGCTGATCTCCACGAGGAGAAGGACAGAATCCTTCGGGCTCTAGGAACGATCCAAGATGAGACTCTGCTTAACAAAGTCCTGGACTTTGCAATGAGCGACAAAGTTCGCGCGCAAGACACCGTTTTCGCCATAATGTCAGTAGCTTTGAACTCAAAAGGTCGCGACCTGGCCTGGAGATTTTTCCAGAACAACTGGCAGATCCTGATGAACCGGTACGACGGTGGATTTTTACTCTCAAGACTGGTTAAACATACCACTGAGAATTTCGTGACCGAAAAGCGTGCCATTGAAATCGAGGAATTCTTTAAGAAAAATCCGACACCTGGAGCTGAAAGAACTGTCCAACAAAGCGTTGAAAGTATTAGACTTAATGCAGCCTGGCTTGCTCGAGATCAAGCTTCTATTGAATCGTATTTCAAAGAAAATTCATATTAAAGTTTATTATTATAAATTATTGATTGAGCTCAAAGGTTGTTGTTTTTTATTTTTATTAATATCTTCTGTAATAATATTAATAATAATAATAATAAATTTATTATCATAAGTATCTAATATTTATAATTTTTTATTTATCTAGAAAATTAAATAGCAAAGATATTAATGTTTTAAAATAATAAAAAAACACAACGCTTGGACTCGAGATGAATAAAATAAAAAAAAAATTTCTTTTCTTCTACATGGAAAGAACAAGATGATAATGAACAATATCATCCCAGATTATACTAGTTACTATCTGAAATTTTTTTTCACTCAGTATAATTTGGGATGACATTCAATGTCATCTTGTTTTTCCTGTGTATTAAATATAATTCATAAATTAAAATTAAAACGTTTGATGTTGCATTTATCTGGAATATGTTTTCAAATTTTACAGTAAATTTTTTACATTGAAGCAATTAAAGTAATTAAAAATATATGTGTTGTTACTTAATTATTATATCCAAAACTGTTAATATTTAATTTATACTTAAAAGTTAGGATTAGGATATTTTTTAAGTACAGGAGACTCTTAAAAGCTAAGTACTTACAGATATTGATTGATACCCGAATGAATGTTTTTGCGCAAACTCAGTAACCCCCTATACACATGACATTTTAATTAAAAAAGAAGGAATAGGTATACGTTATCAAGAAATAAAAAACTTAACATATGTATATATATATATATATTTTTGAATATTTATTTATCGATTTATCATTTTTATAAGCTTTCCTACTCGCTCGTCGCTGTATTTACAGCAATTATCAGTCTTTTTACATAAAATATCTACGGCTATCAAATAATATTGCGAAAACAATAACAATAATTAATTAATTAATTAATAATAATAAGTATATTATGAAACTAATAGACATCAATAACGTGAATAATAATTATTTAATTAAAAATAATATCTACAGAAAATATAAAATCTCAACCAAGCCAATAGAAAACAATCTTAAAATAATAATTCGCATTTAAACTGAAAGTATCAATTGTTTATACACTAAAAAACAATTGACGCGCCTGAAAAATACAATTATTAATATACTGGAATACTTTAATTGCGACGAGGTCGTATGAGGAATGCAATAAAATTTATATACATTATTTACATTGTTTTTGTCCTGATTAAATTGGCTGTGGCTCGATACATGGTTTTTTTTTAAATTATAAATTATATTCTATATAATATAATATTGTATAATATAATTAATGATATTAACTAATAATTATACTAATAATAATAATAATAATAATAATAATAATAATAATAATAATAATGATAATAATAATATTAATATAGGAAGACATCAACCAAACGCCATAAAAAATAATGAATAATAAAATTTATGTATATTAAAGTAACATAAAGTGATACTCGACTGATTTTTACAATAATGATCTTATAAATAAATATGAAGATAATATTTATTGGTAATGGTAATTAATTGGTCACCGTTCGATGGCTATTGCCGAAACAGTTGTGGCGGCGTTCAGCAAAGGCTGCAGAGGTTGTCTGCTTGCGGATTTACTGATTACACTGCTATTATTAATAGTTGGTGGGGTATTTGGAACAGAACTTTCAGAATTATTAATATTTGTCTCTTCTAATGTCGTCTGTAGATCACAGATGTACTCAATGACCCTCTGGATTACTTCAAGTTTCGAAAGTTTTCTCTTGCGTGGCATGTCGGGCACCAAAGACCTCAATTTGGTGAGATATGCTGCTACTTCTTCGGCTTCTAAGTCCCGACGAGTTCCATTTATGCCCAAATTGCTGTGAATTCCACGTGTTGGGGGTACGCGTCCACCGACTGGGCTGACAACCATCGCCTTCATTTTATATTTATTTAATTATTAACACAGCAATCGAAAAAAATCAAATAAATTGGTAATTTATTTAGTTAATAATTAATAAATTAATAAATTAAATTAACTTTAAACTTTTTATTAATGTTTCTTCACTATTTTTATATTTCTTCCTTGCGATAGCAGAGTGCGTACTGATAAATGCGCGCACTACAGTAAATGATGTTAGTATGGCGCACGTACTTACACTCTGCCGGTTTATCAATATTGATCTTATATTATTTTATTATATTCAAAAACGTTAATATCCAGTTGTCGTTGTTTATTACTTTTGACAGCTGATAGCAAACCAATTAACACAATCCACTTATAGATTTAATCACTGTTAATCCTCGAGCTTCAACTTTTAATATTTATTATTATCAATACTTAAATATTTAAATTACAAGTACTGTAATTATTGTTTTTTTGTTTATAAATATAACTGTAAATATTAATGTGTATATTTCTTCAGGTATATATAAACAAAATGATAAAATATCAAGACTTAACTTGAACGAACAGTCGACACATTGGTTTCAAGTTAACTGGCCTCCGCCCCTCACCTGTGGCCTTTTATATGGAGTCTCCCTCTTCAGTCACCGGGAAGCGATTTATTCCCCTTCTTCGTGGGTTGCATTAGTAGTACCAGGCGCAATCGCACACTAAACAAAAGCCAACGATGCCGATGAGTATAAACCACGTAAAATAGATTTATTTATTGCTTATAAATATACTTACTTGCTAAATAAATAATAGTTTTTTTTTTTTATTTCTTCTTTACTATAGATTACTTTATCCCTGATAAGATATCTGCCTGAGTAAATTTATTCAGTAATTCATATCAATGGACAAAATGTTAACCTTTCTGGGAATTGAGATACCTAAGTTGGGAGATAACTTTAGTTCTCATACTAAATTTTTAAATAATCATTTACAGCTCAAGACACGGGAGAAGATAAGTTCTTCTGGTCTGCGGATAACAATATTGAAAAAAAATTATTTTTTTATATTTAATTTAGATGTCGTTTTTGGAAATATTCTTTCCATGTTGACCTAAAAAAAAAAAAAAAAAAATGTTACTTTTCAACGCTAGTAAAAAACTGGACGTCAATCACTTTCTAATTTTAAAAATAGTCATGAGTTTGTTTTGTAATAAAAAATTTTTATCTTATTAATACTTAAAAGTTTTCAGATAAAAAAAATTTTTTTTATGGAATTTAAATCAGAAGACACTTAATAATTTTTATAATACTAAAGTTAGCCGACATTTTTAATTTTTTTTTTTCAATTAAATTAGAACAAAAAAATATTTTTTAAAAATTGCACTCACGGGTTTTCAAGTTTTTTACAAATGAAATTTTTTTTTTTATTTTTTTGTGATAATTTTTTCAATAAAAAAGAATTCTAAAAATTTATAGATATCGGCTAACTTATTATTGAAAATTTTTAATAAAATAATTCTACATCTAGGAATTAAAAATTGCAAATTTTGCAAGAATATTTTTTTTTATAATTAATTTTTAATAAAAATTATCAAATGTCAAATTTTTTTAGATTTTCTAATAATTATTTTTTAAAGAAAATTCAAGTTTGCTTTGTCTGTTAGTTTTTTCGATTTAAAAATTTTTTAAAGATTGCAAAAGACATTTATATTATAGGATTTTGAAACCTGAAAATGTCTTAGCGTACTTTTTAGTGATTTGCTTTGAAAAGTTTACCTTAACAAACGTGACTTTTTAAAGTATTGTAACAAAAAACTGTACGGTTAAACACTTTTGAATTGTCGAAACTAGTAAAACTAAATTCCTTTGTGAGGTTTTAGATATAGTCTAAAAGTCGGGAAAACTTATTTCATAATAAACATATAATGTAAGGATTCCTCGAAAGCCCTTAAAAGTAGGAGTATTGTGAATAAAACGGTAAAAAATTTTCTCATGGTACAAAATTAATGAAAGAAGAAATAAAACCATTGTAAAAAAAAAATACTACTCCATTCTGAAGAACGGAGTTGGTTTAAATTAAATAATGAGTATTATTATAAGTAGATCGCAACAATGATGTTATGGAAGAAACATTGAGTGGGATTGTCATAAGACACGATCAATCAATGGTAAGTCTCAAGTTATTTCCGTTAATCTACATAATATATATTGAGTCTGTATGCTCACGTGTTAATTTTTTAGAAGCATAATAAGAAACAAGAGCCACGCTATCTAGAGCTACGCACAGCTGGGTTACACGCACTTGCGCTCGCAATAACACAACGACCGTCACCAACTACTATAATTGTGCGCTTCCCCTGGTGCATTCCAATCCTCGACAAATCTGTACTCTGATGTCGCAACATAACAGACTAGTTATTTTTTAGTGAGTAGTTTTATGTATCATTAAATTTTTTTTTATTTTTAAATTAATTATTCGAACATGTTATCAACGTTTAATTACATATGCTGGAAATATATATTATAAATATTATTTTGTTTAATATATTTAGTCGCATCATACGATCGTACACACCAAATGCTAGATTAGGAGGAAGGAAGAGAGTGCACGTGCGGCTTGCACGTGTGAGCCGTCCCTCCCGATTGTGATTTTGCTCAGTGTGGCGTACACACTTGAACATCATGTTACGATTTATCACTAGTATATATCTATATACAATATATATACATCATTTTGATATTTATTAACAATAACAATTGTTACTAAAATTTTCGTTTTTTATCCATATTCTTCTCTTATAACAAAACTTGTTTTCATGAATGAATCTTTGGAAAAATTATTATAGAAGAAGATATAGTCTAATATTTTATTACAATTAGTTAGAGTAAAAATATATCATCATTAGATAGAGAAAAAAAAAATAATAATTGGAAATAGATAAAAGAAGACATAATTTTTTTAATAAGAAATAAATTGTCTAGTAATTTGTTCACAAATTCTATTTATTCATACATATTCTTCTTTTGGAGTAAAAATAATTTTTCCTAAATGAATTCTTAAATAACTATTATAGAAGATGATATTTTTTGGTTTATAATCTAAAATTGTATCACAATCAATTATTGTCAAAAAATAACATAATTATTTATTTATTTTGTATAAATTAACGCCAATCGGCTTTATACAGTGATTGAAGTGAATATGCATATTATAGAGAGCAAAAATCAATAATTAGAATTAAACAAAAGAAGAAACATCATTTTTGATAAAAAAATAAAATATTTGGTGATTTATTATTATTTAGTATTATCATAATTTATTAACAATAATTACACAAATTTCTACTTTTTCTTATAAAAAAATTAATTGAATTTTTATGAATGAATAATTAAAAAATTATTAAAGAAGACGATATATTTTAGTGTATAGTGAATAAATAAACATTAAAAGCTAAATAAATAGAGTTAAATAAAAGAAGAAATGTATTTTTTTTTTTATTTTAAAAAAGAATGGAATATCTGATAATCTTAATATCATAATTATTGGAAAATAGGACAGAGTAGTTTCTAATAATCTTCAGCAAAACTATAATAATCTTCAGTAATAATACCAATAATTATGAAGAATAAAAATAATAATATTGTAATGTAATTAATAAAAATAAAAATGGTCAAAAAATAATTCAAGTAATGATTTTTTTTTTTTTTTTTTTTTTTTTTTTTTTCAGTGAAATTATATCGTCAGTACTGGGTTCGCTCAAACGTGTTAGCAAGGACCCCTCTACTTGTTCCAGCCCCGTGGGAACGCGTTGGTGGCCAGCTGCACTGATTGCCGCGAGGACGTGACGTAGTGCCGGGATACTAAAGGAAAGTGTCTTTGTATGTGTGGTATAGTAAGTCTACATTGAAAAATACTGAGTGAAGAAGTAAACTGGTATAGGTATATAGTATAGCATGGGATTGGGCGATGCTGATCATCACAATCTCCAAGTAGTAGTATATAGTAATATAGGTATACATATTTATATTATAGGTGGTGGGAAGAATGTATTTGTGTGAAGTATATATACTATAAAGAATACGGTTAGGTATGTATAGAAATAAAGAAGACTTGCTAAAGGGAGAAAGATGGTCAAAGAAGTTTAAGAGCAGAACGAAGCCGACGAGGCCAAGATCCGTACGAGAAGAAAAGAGGGACGCATTCCAATGAGGCGCCGGCCAGTCTGTGGCACACCTGCGCGTTAAGCTGAATCACGGCGCCTCCGCCACAACTGAACTGGCCCTCCCACCCGTTTCTCTTTCTCTCTTGTCCTCCCGATCCTTTTTCTCCCACAACATATAGCTTCCCAGCCGGAGCCAGACAAGCCAGATAAAGATAAAGTGAGCAAGAGCCAACATCTCTTACTCTCTTTTTTCCGCTTCTTTTGCAAATAAAAACACTTGGGCTCGTCTTTCATTTTATTTTATTATTATTATCATCATTATTTTTTTTTATTTTGTAATTTTTTAATATTATTTTTACTTTTTATTTTGTTCCAGAGTCCAGAGTTATTTGCGTTTTCTCTTTACTTCACATTCAGCTTCTATAGGTACTATTCAGGCTCTTTTGCTCGACACGATTCACAGCACAGCCACATCGAAACATAACAGCAAGAGACGCAGTGTCGAATAACTGGGAAAGCTCACGGTCTTGCGTATACAATTCGATGGAGGCGTGCAGGTGTCCAATGAAGCCTGTCCCCTGTCCGTCCGGACTTAATGTCTGTCTATAGTTATATTTCTTTAAATTATGCCTTAAATCTCATGCTCACGCTGTTTTTTCTTTTACTCACTTGCATTGACCTAAAATTACCATTTTTTATTTTTATTTACAGGTATGCACCTTTTTTTTTGTTAGTATTTTTCACACTACAACACATAAAAATGAAAATTTTATGGTTTTACTTGTCAAGATTTATATCGGACCCTGTTAAACGGTAATTAGCTGACTCACAAAAATACCTGTAACGTTTAAAAAAATTTTTTTGAAATTCATAATACAGAAGA